CTTTTCCAGATCTCTTCCCTTCGAACACTTGGTGTTTCAGTATGCTGCCTGGATGCATACAGATGGCTCTGTGGGAGGAAGCAATACAAATGTGCTCAGGCTCAAAGACCAGATTGCAAATGGCAAGTCAAATTTGGGATCTACCAACCTTTCAGAGTAGCCTTTGGACCTGGCATGTTCTTCAAGTTCCTCAGTAATTTAGTGGTACTCTTCAGTAATGCTGGAATTATAGTCAGCAGTATAGCTTTTCTCAGTTTTAGTTATGGTTTTCACATGTTGAGCATTTGTGAACTTCTATTTTGTGTAACACCTAGTTGACTTCAAGGCTCTGTGTGTCTCAGAAATAAAGTAATCTTTCAAATGACCTTGAATTCCCATCACTCATCAGTTCTCACTTCATGTAAGTATGGCTTTTTATAAAGCAGTTTGTATTGATGTACTGTGGTTTTGAACCATGTGGAGCAAAGGTCATTACTATAATAATACTCAAGGCAGATCTTGTCAAGATTGGTTACTTTGCAGTAAAAGAGATACCCATGAGTGTATCTATTAACAACCTTTGTCTTTAACACGGTACACAATACAGAAATGCTTGCAAGAATAGTTGTGATATTGAGAATATACTGAATGAGGCTTTTATTTTATTTGCATGCCACTTGTATTTGTGTAATGCTATTACATGAAAAAAAAAATATCCTTCTAATTGGGAATGAACAGGAGTTTAATACAGGAAGGGACCACCTGAGCCATTGTGTTTGCTTACCCAGGAATAGACATTTAAATTGTGGGTGACTACATCTACTCTAAGCATTGCAACACTATTTTTTTTCCCCCCTTTTGTAACATAAATCTGATCACCATGGTAAATAGACGTGTCCCTTAGTAATTCTTTGAAAGGAAGGATAGGGTGTGATCAGCTCAGGATTATAATATCCAATATGCTTGTGGTGCCCATGAGAATTGACAATTTGGAGGAACTGGATAGACAGCAGTCCCAAGGGAGAGGCTGCTCTGCCAGTGCCCATTAAAGCAGCTGCCCCTGTGCAGGAAGAGAGCTCAGCTGCTGGCTGTGCTCCCTAGTAAAACAGCCTGCTGCCAAAGGCAGTTCTCCCCCTCTGCCTATACCCAAGCATTAGCACACAGGTACTTCTCTTGCATGTGTGTATTCATGCACAACTTTCCAAATCCATATATTGCCTAAGCCAACTGACTTAAACCACACCCAGGGAATTTGCTGCAGGCTTTGAAAATGCCTGGATGTAAATGGGCTAAAACCGCTTCTGTTTCAATGATAAGAATTACTTCAAACCAGGCAGGACTAGTGAATTTAAAGCTGCTGTGCTGATAGTAACTCTGGGAAATGAGGAGGTAAATAAGTGTTTAGTACTGTATTCAAATATATCTTGGCTAAGGAGCAATTTTGCATAGCAGCAAAAATCAATTTAAACTTTGACCGCTTTTCTTCCCTCTAAAGCAAGTGGCAGTTTTGTTTTATTTTTTAACCTTGAATGTATTTCATAATAATGGTGTGCACGGAATCAGGTATTTTGCATGCATTACTGATGTTTGGCAGCGATCTTGCCTGTTGCAGGGAGGCACGAATTCCTCTGGTAAAATCTTAGCAACAAAGGAGCTGATGAAAAAAATTCCTGCTAACTTACATGTGGCCAAGATTTCACCCTTGATCTGTAGGCGGAATGCAAAAAATGTTGCTTCCAAGACCCCAGATGTAGGTATTGGTTACAGCACACTCTGTTCTCCTCCCTGGGCACGCTGTCTTCTGTAACACATAGGATGTGTAGAGCTGGGGAGAACCTCCTCTAAACTCATGGAAGGTTGGGGCTGGTTTGTTGGTTGGTTGTTTTTTTTCCACATTGGAAAAATAAATTGCTTTGGAGCTTGATCAGCAAGAGTAGCTTAGAAACAGGAAGGAAACGGCTGTATCATTTGTGAAACATTTCAAAGTACAAAAAGAAGCCAACCACGTAACTGCTTTGGATTGAAGCCAAGAGTTTTTCAGTGCTTTCTACAGGGGAAAAAAAAGGTGAACACCCACCCCAAGATAGCCAGTAATCAAATGGTCAGGGAACATGTGTAGGCTGAAGCAGCCAGTCTTTGGCTTTGAACTGAGAAACACATCTGATGATCAGATTAGTGTGCCCCCCCACCTCCTTCACCCCAAAAGAAACCTCTATCAGACAATTCTCAGCCATTTGAACTAGGAGTCAACATTTTGTTAACCACCAAGCAGCTAATCCTATGTGTAAAGAGTAACTTTACAGGACCCTATTCAGAGATGAAATTGTTATAACTCATTATCCAGACACTAACCACATGGCCAGTTCTCAGCTGTCCTCTGAGTCCATCATTGCTGATCTCTGAAGCTTAGTGATTTTACTGTGTTCCAGTTTGTGCCCACCAAGGAATTCCATAAAAGTACAATATTAGCCGTAGCTGTTGGTCTAGTCCTTGACTATTAAAATTTCTTCTTAATTTGGCCGTTTCTTTTGTAGAGCATCAGAGATGGAGGCAGGCTCCTTTAATTATGTATTGATCTGCTTTTTGGCTTTCTTTCCTGTGCTGCTAATGTGATCTTTAATGAATGAGCCTAAAGTGACTTCTGTTTCATTTTTCTATGTGGCAGAATTTCAGATGCCAGGTTAGTTTATTTGCTTTGACACTGTTATTTGCATCCTTTTTATCTTGACTTATAAAAAGCTGATAAAATATGCGTGGAGGAGACAAAATAGACTCAGATGACAATTAGTGAATGAAAGTCAAGATTTATACCTTATTTTCAAGTCTGGAATGAGGATATTTGTAAGAGCGTTTGTAGCTCCAGGAAGAAGATTGTATAGGACAGCTCTTTTCAGGCATGGTAAATATATATACACTGCACAGGGCAAGTCCATCCGTGTAACAAGTTAAAGTTTTCCTTATGACCTCCATTGAAGACTGTGGCATAAAGTCCTCTTGGGTCTACCTTGCAGTCATTCTTTTTCATAGTGTAGAATAAATGTGATGATCTTTTTTTATGGACTGATTTGGTTTTAAGGGTGAGAAAGGCTGGATTGTTCTTTTAATTAACTTTCAGAACAGGCAAAGAAGGGTGGATGAAAGTTGTGTCTGTTATCTGGCTGGGTAAATAGTAGTAAGTGCTGTAGTAAGTCACTCCCCTATTTAGTGCTTAAGGGCAATACACAGAAATTCTTTCATTGATTCAATTTAACAGAAGATTTAAGGGCAAGAGAATAATTTGAAAATTTATGGGAATGTGTTTAGGTTCATCTGCTCAGGTTAATGTTGCATTTTCCTGCAGAGAAGTGAAAAAATCAGAGGTAAAGTAACCCTTAACATTTTCCTTTAGACTTAAAATTTTGTGCTCTTCAAGTTTTAAGGCAGACTCCTGCCTTAGTATAGTGAGTTGTGTTAAAGAAAACCATCCGGTGATGTCTTCAACCTGTATGATGCCTCCAAATAGGGGCATTTCTTCAGAAAATACAGTTATTTTGATATGTAACTGACAACATACTAATGATTTAAGATTAATTGTCTTGTGTGTGTGCATTTTTCATGTTTATTGTAGCTTACATTATTTTAATAGCTTTGTGTTTGGCTTGTTGTACTCTGGTTTATACTTTGGGGCCTGTAGCAGACATAGGAAACATAGGTGCTCAAAATGTCTTGGCTGGCAGCTGGCCTGAGTCCAGCACTGACCTGCCTGTGTCCATGCTCCTGATCTGTCTACAGAGTGGGTAGCCAGCATCAGTTAGATTCTTGCCAACACAGTTTTGAAATCCTTCTGCTCCAGGGAAATTTGCCACCCTTAAGTAGCTCCAAAGTTGTGGTAAGGATGAAGGATCCTAGTTTGGATAATATGCTCTGTGAGCTAAATAATGTGTGGGGCTTTCCTGGAAAGATAATCTAGCCCAGTTCCTGTCATATAGCCAAAGGGAAACATGCTGACTCTGTGTGAAACAGGGTGGGGTTCTTTACAGAGAGAGAGTTCTATTTCCGCAAGAATTATATACCCATCCTGCTCCTAATATCACGTCTGGAAGTCAGAGTGTATTAGCAAGAAACTTTGTGCATTTTAAGTAGACAGTTTATCCTACTATCAGTATAATTTTGGAATGGACGTTATCTTAAACACATGTATTTATTGATTGCTAAAGCAGAAAGTTTCTGTTGCTATTAAGATTTGTTGCTATCTCAGTGAAAATCCTTTTTTTCACTTGACCATGGTTGCAATAAAATTTCAACTGATTCAGTGAAATTGCAGGCTCATGTTAGAGTTAGGATGTGGGTATATGATTCGATGTGGATATATGCCTTGCGATCAATTAAACAAATTGAGTTTTAAACCACCATAGTGAAGGATACAAATAGCTTTTTTGGCTTTGCTGTGTGACTAAAAGCAACCTTTGGGAAGGCTGTTTAGACTGAGGTGTAGTAACAGCAAGTCTGCTGCTTGGTGCTAAGCAAAACTTTCATGTCAGCAAGAAATTCTGGGGCCAGTGAAGCTTCAGTGTTTGTCATAGTTCTAATGCATGCTTGTTAAAACTATATATAATGCTCTCAGTCATACTAGATGAATAAACATGAATTGTCATTGTAGCTGTAGAAGGCAATATAAGGTGAGCTAAAAGGATATGTCTATGGGAACGCCTGTACATGTGAAGCTGATACATGATAACATACTACTACCTGCACTTTCCCAAGATGCATTTCTAATTATCTGTCTGCAGGGCTGTTAAAATGGAATATCAGTGATACGTGTATAAACAAAGCACTCTGATTTTTAGAAGTAATGAGTACCCTAGCTGCACATTGGTGTTAGTTGCTTTTAAAATTTAAAATGAGCATTACCGATTTTGTTAACCTTGCTTTTCATATTGCTAAGAATTAGCAATATATGTTAATATTATCTTTGCCATGCTTTTCTCTTTCAACCAAGAATTACATCTTTGTATATAACCTTATGTTTTTATTCATTTTAGACAAGCTGTATATGGGACCAGGGCAACTGTACCATGATCTGCAGAACCTTTTACATGACTTGACTGTAATTGGTCAAATTAGTCAATTAATAGGCAGCCTTAAAGGAAACTATCAGGTAATAAACAAAGCTGGATTTATTTTTCAAGTATGTCCTGTTGTAAAGTACCATACCTGTCTTTCCCTAGGAGCTGTGTAAGGCATTTTTTAGTTCTCTCTGTAGAGTGTTATAATTTTTACCTCTAGTAATTAATTTACTTAAAACTATTTAGTGTTATGAGTAGATTGTAGCTGTCTTTCTAATCTTGTTTTTCTTTTTTGCTTTTAAGTGTAAGTGGATGCTACAAGTGTCTGCATTTCTCAGTAGCTGATAAGCTTATATAGGAACACAATTACATTTGATCTTATGAAATTGCATTCTTGCAGTCAGACAAGGTAGTAGAAGGATGGTTATTTGTAGGGAGCTCTTGATGCCCATCCGAGCTCATAATCCTGGCTACTGGGGGGAGCTGTTCTTAAAACTGCGTGCAAAGCACAAAAATATGAAAAGGATTCTTAAGGGAACTTTGAAAGTAATTTGCTTTGGCTTTCTTCACATTCCTTTTATTTAGCTTATATTCTGGCAAGTGAATGCAATAGTTTAACAGTGGATTTCAGAATAAGTTATCCACAGTCTGAAGACTTAAAAATAAAAATATATGTATGTATTGCTTTTTTCCCCTTTGTTTTACTTGCTTTATATATGCTTAGGCACAATTTTTAACTCTTAGCTGCCACCATAGGCTGTAAATATATGTGTGTGAATATGTATATGAAAGCTGAGTTTCTCTTGGGATATCTTGTCTTCAGAATTAAGGGCATTAAATAAAACAAAGTTTTGTGAAAATATGTACTGTGAAGGAAGTTTATGGAAACAGTACCTTTGGACAAAATTTCACAAGTATCTGAAGGTAAACTTCAGCTGCATTTTTGGGAATATGTACAGCAGAGACACAATAAGATGTCACTCACTAAGATCTACAAAACCTTTCGGCCTGTATTTCTAGTTGAGCCAACTATGTTTTGAAAACTTAAAATTCAGTCAATGTTTCCAGGTAGAGGTGTTTTATCAATAATTAGATACAAGGTAATTAGAACAGTGTGGTTGAGGAATGAGGTCAGCTTCCCTATTTCTGAAAAAGACCTCAATTTTCACAAAATTCTGACTGTGGAAAATTAGTGTACCTTTGTGTATGAATACCGGTTACTGTTGATACTTTTAAGTGTCACCCAGGTGTGTTTTTGCCTTCTGTGACCAAACACTCTGATTGCTTATTAACTCAGGATATTATTTCAGCATTGTATTTAAACAGATTCCAGCTGCACAGGCAGCTTTCATGATGGCTCTGTAAACACTTTAGATCAAAGATTTGAACAAAACCATACTGGCAGTATGATTTGTAGATGTTTTTATGAGATTTTCTTTAGGAACAGGATTTGTGGGTTTTGTATAACTCCCTGAAATGAAGTAAAAGTGTTGTGTGTACACCTGATGCAAATTTACATAATCTGAAAAACATTTGGTAGTGTCATCTGTATATCATCAAACTGAGCAATGTGAGATTGAATCATCAGATCAGATATTTTGGAATTTTTTTACAGATATTTTTGAAATGTGTTTTCAAATATGGCTAAATTTTCCATGATTAAAATGTGGATTAAGTGAGGCCCAGGTGCCAGAAATTGTTTGTTGTATGCAGACATCACCTTAGCCTGTTGGAACTAGGCCAGTAGGCTGGTATTGAATCTTAGCTGTTCTAATTTTTCAGAATTTAAACCAATCTGTAGCCCATGACTGGACCTCAGGTTTACAAAAACTGATTCTGAAAAAAGAAGATGAAATCAGAGCGGCAGATCGCTGTAGAATTCAGCTGCAACTCCCAGGAAAACAAGACAAGTCAGTAGTAAACTTGATTACAAATCTTTCTAAATGGGCTTATGTATTAGACATAGAAGCACTAGGGAGGATTTGGGAACCTTTAGTTTTACCCCTTTTCTGTCTCCACAGTTAGCTTCTGACTTCTGCTGTCATGACACAATGCTGGGAACTTGTATGTTCCAGGGCAGCATTGTAGTTTTTCTGTTTCTCAACCCTGCATTCCAGGTGCAGGAAGAGAACAACTCTGACAGTGACATCTCATAGGCAACACCCACTGTTATATTCTTTCATCCACGGGGTGTTCTTCTTGTACCATGTCATGTAAAGTGTAAGAAGATGGGTGTATAGCATATCATAACCTGAATGCTTATATCAGAGCTGTGTCTTTGCCTAAGTATTAGAAAATACTGAAGCTTCATCTTACTCAGTGTCTCTAGCCTTGACTGAATCTCATACTCAGTGTGTTTACAGTGGCTTTTTCTTTGTTTTTTTTTTGTCTTGCAGGTCTGGGCGGCCCACTTTCTTTACAGCTGTGTTCAATACATTTACCCCTGCCATCAAACAGTCCTGGATCAACAACTTACAAATGGCTAAACTGGCCCTTGGTAATTCTTAATTACTTAAATTTCCTGTCAAGTTTAGGAAGCTCTCAGTGTGCAGTGTAGGGTTGGTTTGTTTGGGTTTTTTTTAATTGTATTTTTATTTTTTAGAAAAATTACTTTGAGAAAAATTTATCTGCAGATAATAAAATTGCAATACAGTGATTAGTAGTGATTGTGTATCACTACAAAGTAATGATGTTATAGGTAGGATGGGGGTTATGAAGGAATAGAATTTCTATAGTACTTTAATAATGTGGTAATCATTATTAGTTACTATATCTAAATTAAAAAGAATGAGATGCCCTATAGGACAGATAGATAAGGAAGTTAGTCCGTTATAAACTTATTTCTTCAGATCTTACAAACTCTATAAACTTGGAACTTCAGGTTCACATTTCTGAGTTTTAGCTCAATGATTTTAGCTAGTAAAGCCAATGAGTTCCTTTGGTTAGCTTTCTGAACATGAAATAAACTCGTGGATGTAGTTCTAATAAAATGCAATACTTCTGTAGTTGGATATGTAGAACTCAAGGTTGGGGGGGGGTTGTTTCTTTTTTCAACATAAGTTTATAGTCTTCACTAGAAGGATTATTACAAATAAACCTGATTTAAATGGGAGCAATAAAGAATGTGCTGTCCTGTGATGTTATTTGTTCCCTGTGTTTGCACAGAGGGCATAGATTTCCAAAGATACTTGGGATTTTCAGTGTCTAATTTGAGAAAGATTAAGGCTATGCACTTTCTAGAAATCGAAGTTCACCTGCACATCCTCAAAATACAGTGTGGTATGGTACTTTAATGGTACCTCAGTGAAGGCCGGCAAAATAACAAAAATAAGAGAGAATGGATGTCTACATCATTCCAGGAGGAGAATCCTTGTAGTTTTGGATAGTTATGATTAGTAGTTAGTAGTGATGTCACACAGGCAGAGAAATGCTATTTGCAAATCAGATTTCCTGAGGTTTTCTGTCCTATTTTAATAACCTAGTTGACAAGATCATTAAGAGAACACATTTTCCTAGTGAAAGGTTCTTTTTTTGCAGTATCGATATGTATCTGATCTACTATATTGAATTTTTGCTCATATTTTTATGCTGTCATTCATGCATATATGGCAGAAGAACAGCCTGATCAGTATTAACCAATCCTGACAGAATTCTTTTCTATTTCCCTAGAGAAGTGTAGGTGAATATTCAGTGTAAGCATTGTGGAATATTTGTTGTTTGTTCTTTCCATTGCAGCTGAGGATAACCTGTTAGGTTGGTTCTGTGTAGAAGACGATGGAAATCAAATCAAAAAGGAAAAACATCCTCTCCTTGTTAGACACATGCCAGTGATGATGGCCAAGCAACAGGAGTTTAAGGTGAACAGAATTTCTATATGAGAATTCCACTTGCTTTTTTTTTTGTGTGATATAACTGCTAAAGAAAACCATATTGTAAATACATCTATTCATATTTATTATTTCTCTTGAGGTGCTATTTTGATGTAAAACCAGTTGCAATGGAAGGTCCAAGAGGGCTACAGGAATGCAAAATACTGCAATCTTTGAAGCATTGGGAAACATAGTGTTGACTTTCATATAGTACTTCATCTGTTTTCGGGTGTAAGCTCATCATTCAATGAAAACAGAACTGCTGGGAGCTATGAATTGGTCTCAAAGTTTCCAAGTGCTTATTTGAGGTTCCAAACTGTCCTGCAGTTTACAAAGTGCAGGAATCTGATGCCCATGATAGCTGTCCTGTACTCGTGTGACTGTGTTACAGCATCTTCCTCAAATTTCTGATTTTTATTAGCTCACTCAAATGATGCTGTAAACGGTTTGGGGGGGGACGACTGGGAGGGTAAGAGAATGTCTCCTTCACAGGTTGACCACCCGAGAAGGAGAAAAAAGATGTGTAATTGCTAAGCACTTCTATTATATACCTCCCAAAGTATAGAGGTGGTGACCACACTGGGAACGTAAGCCAGATCAGTTTCATGATCAATGATTCTATTGTATTACAAATCATTACCATAAAGTGCAATGAGACAAGAACCTTAGCCCTTGAAAAACACTAATACAGCAAATACTGGCTGGAAGTAAGGTACGATACACTGAAACTGTGAGATCAAGAGGAACAACTTTGAGAGCCAATAAATCAGCATTGTGATGAGTGACTATTAATCCAAAACAATGAATGCTTATCACAAATATGATTAGACACACTCCGATCAGATCTGTTGTTATCTCAACCCCTCAGGTCCCTGTTCAGGCGCCAAAAAGAACTGTCGTGGTTTAAACCCAGTCAGCCACACAGTTTCTACTCCCCCCCCCCCCCGCCTCCTTTCTTTCCTTCCCCCCCCCCTCCCCCTGCGCTCCCGGAGGGATGGGGAGGAGAATCAAAAGAATGTAACTCCCACAGGTTAAGATAAGAACAGTCCAGTAACTAAGGTATAACACAAATCACTGCTGCTGCCACCAATAATAATAACGATAAGGGAAATAACAAGGGAAGAGAATACGATACAACCTGCCGAAACAAGCCTGACTGAGAAGAGAGTGCCTGTCTGCGTAACTCCCAGTTACCTCCCTGGGCATGATGTGCTGTGGTATGGAATACCTCTTTGATCAGTTTGGGTCAGGTGTCCTGTCTCTGCTTCCTCCTGGTCGAGCATGAGACTCACAAAGTCCTTGGTGAGAGTAAACATCGGTGTCAGCTCTGTTCACAGGCTGAAAGTCAAAACCACAGCACTGCACCAGCTAGTAAGGAGAAGAAAAATTGACTGCTACTGCAAAACCCAGGACATACAGAAATAGACTTAATGGTGCATTGCTTAAGGTAATGTGTCAAATTGAAGTCATATTGACCTGACTTTAATGCTGAAAATAAATACAGCATATCCAGACCAACAGACAGAAGGGAATGGTGCTAGGTACTGTTTTCAACAATTCTTCATCAGGATTTTTTACTGCCCATCAGTCAAGCTTGGGCAGTAGCACTAATGGTAGTAAAATTGTATATGGCTAGAATCCCAATGTTAAATTGACATCATTGCATGAATACTGCTTAGAGCAGTAAGTCTGCAGACCTCTTTGTTACGGCAGCCTAAACAGGATGGAAGTTCAGCTGGCAGCTTCACCTCCAGCGTGAGTAATCAGGTCTGGATATTGGGGAAAAATGATTTCTGGCTGCAAATGCACTTGAAATGTGCATTTCAAACCATTCCTATGATGCTGGTTTTCAGAGCAGAGCTATTGTTTACAACAGCCAAAGTCTACTGAAAGTCTCTGGTTTCCCATACAACCGTAGTTATTCTTGTCTTTTTGAACAGTCAGCTTTGAATACTTTCCAAAACCACCACTGGTGAAATAACCCAGCTAATTTATTCTTTTGCAGAACCTTAAAATGTTTGCCTTCTTAGAGCCTATGCATTTGTAAGTCCTGTAGCTCCATGCCAGGAGCCTTGAAGACCCAGGCTAAACTCCTGTAATCGGGTTACAACAGGATCAGCTTCTTTTGAAAGGAAAGGCATGTCTATGGTCCCTACAGTTAGGTCGTGGTCTTTGCTTTGGTCACCTCAGGAGAATACAATGTGTGGCAGTATTTACCTGAGCTTTCAGTCAACTTTGCCAGATTTACAGCTCCTTAAAATAACGTGGGTGTGAGCCTAGCTATCATGCCTGATTGTCCTAAATCCTCAATATTACTGAAAAAGATGATCTAAGTATTACTGGTTGTTTCCTTCAGCCTTAGTACTGTTTGGGTGTTAGGCCACAGCTTGGGGTGGGAAGAGACAATTGCTTGGCTTGTTACCTATCTGCATGCTGCTCAGGCTGCCCAGTAGTATAAGGAGCCTGTTAAAACTCCCATCAGAGCAAGTTTACACCCCAAGGCACAGAGCTTCTCTCAAGATGGAGAGTTAAACTATGAGGGTTTAACTGTGGAAAAACGTAACTGGTTTTGACTAAGATGCAATGTAACACAGAGAAGCAACAAGCAGCCCAAGAAATATCCAGCACGCAGGCTGTCTTCTCTTTCACTAGTGATGTATTTATCTGTCACAACTACTGTAAATCACCACTATGAGTAGATAGCTTCAGCATCTGTTAAATGAGTCATGGCATGGATAGTGCTTTTTTCTTTTTTCCATCTATTAGTTTCCCTCTTTCATCCTTATAGTGAGTTGCAGCTCTGAAAATTAAGTAAACTGGGAATTTAGAAACCTTAACATAAACTTGCTCATTATGGTGAAGATGTCTAAGTTAATGCTAACCAAATTGTCTCTTGTACTGCAGTATAATCACCATAACATTGATGTCTAAGACAAGAACATTAGTGTTAATTATAGAGAATTTTGTCTATAAATAGGTGTCACACCTCATCCAAAAACTTTTTATTCTCTACAAGGTTATGAATTGCTTGTATATATTTTAAAGTGCTTACATAAGCTTTAGGGAGCCTGCCATGGATATTGGGGAAAATAGAAAACTATGACTGTTCAGAAAAATGCCTGTTTTCAGAACCTTGTTACCTGAATGATTTTCAGAGTTGGGGTGGATTTAAATACACATCTTGAGTCTGGTGTTGCTTTCAGGTTTTTCTTAAGTGGCTTTCATAATAAAATTATGAGTATGGTTATTAATTTACTGACATGATGACATGAAGTTGGGAAGGGATTGGAGTAGTGAGGTTGATGGTGTTAGGATTCCAAATGAGTAACGCACCTGGAGAAATACTTTGAAGAAAAACATAATAAAAAAAAGAAGGGCTGATAGTAGGACAGACACACAAGGCATGCTCAGGCAGAAATAAAGAGCTTCACAAGTGCAGACTGAGGAGGTGTTTGAGTAGAAGATCTACAAAACTAATTTTTCATAAGCCAGTAGGCTAAGGATTGGTTAAGAATGTAATATTTTTACAAAGATAAAATAATCAATGTGATGTGTACAAGCTTCAGAAGAGATATTCATGAGGCATTGCTGTTAACAGCTCTGCTAGAGTATCATGTTAAAGTGAGAAAGTTCTGCACTCTCAAGTATATGAAGCCAATTTATCTGCTGGAGAGATCCCAGTTGGAAAAGTGATAATAAAAAAATGTATAATAAAGAACTAAAAATAATTTCTTTCTTAAATTTTAAAATGTAGTTAGTTGATAATAGTTGATAGTCCAGGAGGAGAGACTCATGCAGCGTCAAGATATATTTCAGCCTTATGTGTAAAAAAGGACACTGCAGAAGGGAGGTATGTGGTAGCAGAGATGAGAAGTAACAGCCTAATGATTGTGGCAAGGATGATATTAGGTTGGATTGGTTCTTTTGTGATTTTTTGATACCCTTAAATGCTGTAGCTAATTACAGATAAATTGGGCAGAAACGGGCAGAAACAGGCACATCTTCTTAATGTGGTGACTGCTCTCTTTTCCTTTGAAGATTGAATGTGCTGCTTATAACCCTGAACTGTACCTCTCTGGAGAAACAGAGTCAGACTCCTGTGCCATGGAACATGGTTTTCTTTGGGTAAGTGTAATCTTAAAAGCTAAAAGGGGGCTGTCTTCTATTCCTCTGCTTTTTTTTTTTTTTTATTATTTTTTGTGGCTTTCCACAACATATGGATCTGAAATAAATTTTGGGATTTTTTTTGTTTTGTTTTGTTTGTTTGAAGATGGACTTCTATAAAGGATATCTAGTAATTTTGTCCATGGGATCTCCCTGTTCTCTGTAGGGTGTTGTGTATGTGTGTGAGATTTATTAGCGTGGCACAGAATGAATCCAAAGTGCTGAGCACATTCAGTAGTGAGTTATGTGCTGATTTACAATGAGGGCTGCTAAAACCCATATAAGCTCACACTGTCCTATTGTCTGTTTTCATGTTTTAAAAATGCTTTAGCCATAAATAATCTGTTTAAGTCTGTACATAGGAAAAACGTATTCTGGCATATTGTAACAGGCCCATATGTGCAGATATTCCAGCAAAGTGAGATAGCCAATACTTGAAAAAAAAACCCACAAAACAACAAAAAACCCTAATGATTTCAGTAGCTTTTCTTATTAGTAAAATACTGAAATTTTAAAGGAACCCTTGTGAAATAAAAGTAGAATTTAGAAATAGTTTTTGTCATTGGTCTTTTTCATGGTGATTCATGTAATTTCTTTCTGCTTTGTTATTTGTAAAGTTGTCACAACTATATGCCAATAAAATCTTTCTGCTGTCACAAAATGTTCTTTCTGTTTGCTGCATGTTCTCATTTCATATAAACATAAAGAGTTGCTATATAAAAACACTGTTGCTTGGGCAGACATTTATTTGTTGGGCTTTTTTGTTGTTGTTTTGTTTTTTTTCTACTTTTCCCAGGTCTCTAAAATGTACAGATTTGTGGACATATTGATGATACGTAGTTCTGGATCAAGGAGAAATTTAGGACTCTACTTCAGCAACTTTACAAAAGGGTTTATATCAATCCCTCTGTTGGGACAGAGCATTTATTTGTAGACCTGTTACTGTGTAAAGGACAGGCCTCAGCTATATTATTTGTTTTGACAGTCTGAGATGACTTAGAACACTGATTATTAATATATTACCACTGCTTATTATAATTGCATTACATTATGTATATCCATGAGTAAGACATCAGAATAGGCCATAGTATTGCTTCTTTCAGAAAAGAACTGGTTTTGTGACTATAGAGGGGAATTTTGTGTATATAATGTTTTGATGTCTCTTGTATTTGTGTTGAATTATTAACTTGTTTATGTCTTAGTGCATGAAAAGTCATATTCACGCATCTAACTTGAGATGCGTTCCTCAATTAACATTCCAGTCGTTCCTTTTTGTTAACGCTTGTCTTCCTGAAGGCAAGTATCAGTTGGTCATGTTTTGTATTTTTATTTTCTTATTCTTTATTTTTATTTCCTCTATCCAATTCAGATTGGCAGTTGTACTAATCAAATGGGCCAGATTGCAATAGTCTCATTTCAAAACTGCAGCCCCAAGGTTATTGAGTGCTTCAATGTGGAATCACGGATTCTCTGCATGGTCTACATACCAGAGGAGGAGAAACTGAAAGAGCAAAATCAGGCTCTAGACTTGGAAAATGTTCTTGCAAAAACTTCTAATGTGCCTACTATTTGCCTTGGCATGGAAGAAGGAAGGTAATTCCTATTTTTAGTGTATGGTGTATTATTTACTCGTTAGGTTCACTATTCTATAGCAAAATTCTCTGAGAATTTCAAGAAAAAGTTTAATTAAAAAAAAAAGTCTGTGTGATATCCCAGTGACCTCAATTTATCCTTTCCATCTAAATAAATATACTTTACATGATTTTAAAACATACTGTATAGTAGTTGAAATTAAAATGTGTATTTTTGAAAGGATTAATTCATCACAGATCATGTTTCAGAAATAGAAATACTACTTTTATAATGTTACAACATAATCTTTAGCTATTGGAAAATTTTCAGGATGGCGAAGTGCTAATAAGGAACCCATTGACCTTCTACACTGTGATATTGTGCAGGATTTGTCATGCAAATAAATAATTTTGCTGTTTACTATTGAACTGTTGACATGAAACATTTTGCTCTGTTTGAACTGGTGACCTTACTGAGTCATCACTTGATTTATAATGAAGAACAAAGCTACATTTTCTAAACTTATAGGTCAGTAAGCAAACAGATCTTGTTATAGCTAGTGAGGGCAAAAGTATGTAACTACATGCAATTTCTGAAGGTGTTGCTAGCCTGCATAAATGAAGGAAAACAAATTCTCCAAGGAATATGTTTCCAGAAACCCCAACATCTAATTGTACAGATTATCTTTGCTTGTGAAGTGCAGTCAATTCCATGTTTAACTATTGAACATTCCTAGCATACCTGTGGTAATAATCTCTAGGAATGGTGGGAATTCTAAGTATAATTATGTCTCGTAGTAAGCTTTTCTCTCTTTTCCCTAGTACTCCAGTTAATACTTAATCCATTTAGTATTTATTTTAGTATTTATTTATTATATATAATCCATTTAGTAGAAGTTTTGTTTGGATTTTTTAAATGAGTAGACTCATAATAAGGACTTTCAACAGAATTTTTATTATGTCTCCTGTTTCTCTAGACAAGATAATATGAAAAGTATTGTCATATGTCAATGTTGAGTAATTGCAAATTGTCTACATAGACATTTTGGAGAGTCAAGATACTCCTTTCCATACTCATCTTCCTATGAATGGAAGGAGAAATTTTCTTTTCCCTACCAGTATTTTATTCTAAACTTCTTTTTTGCATATTCTGATAAGAATTAAATAAAACATAATTTCACAGGTTTATTTCTTCTTGCTTCTTTTTAATAGTATTTCTATTTACAAAAGTTGCCAAGGCTCAAAGAAAATTCGACTCCAGCACTTCTTCACTCCTGAGAAATCAACTGTTATGAGCTTAACGTATATGTCTCAATACTTGTTTGCTGGCTTGGTAAATGGAAACATCTCAATCTACACAAAAGCAGAAGGTAATGTAGTGATATCATTTGATAGCATCCTGAGGAACTCATATGTCTCTGTATTTTGGCAGAAGTGGCTTCCCACTCATGTTTTCCAAAAATTCTCTGTAAAACTGCTGTACTAAGGTTACTGTACATCTTAGTACTTCTGAAAAAACTTTTTTTATTGTTTTGAAGGACAGTAGAAAGTTTGATATTCTTCCCACTTTTACCATATGATACATACGAAAACTGGTTTGCACTCCTTAGCTTAAAGCCTAAGGTCTTCAGTGTTAAAACAGGCCAGAAATTTGTGATAAGAAACAGTATACTGTATTTTACACAGCACAATGGTAATTCCACTTGACTACTCAGGATCAGTGTTTATGAAAGACAAAAGCTAGCTGTTAGTGGAGATTCCTGTATATCTCATTTGAATTGACAGCTCCATTTTTACTGTTCAGATAGAAGTCTTTCCCGTGTGTGTGGCTCATGCAGTTTACAGTAGAAGTCATTTTCCATTAACAACACAGTTGTTGTTGTTATTTAGTATTATTTTGTATCTAGCTAAGTAATTGGCTAAAATAATTTGAGTAAAGGAGAATCGCAGAATACTTCTGTACCAGAACTGTATTTTCCAGAGCTTGTTGGGTGCTCGTCTGTGTACTTCCAGTGTATCTCATTAACTTTCCTGCAGTATCAAATACATGTATAGTTAGATCAAAATCAGCAAGGCTTTACTCAAAGTTTTAAACCTTAATGTTTAAGTAAGATGTTAGCACAGAGACACCTAACCTTGTAAAGTACAGAGCCAGCAGAGATCTGGTGTACCTTATTAGCATGAGCTGCGTAACAATGGTTGTCATACTTTTGTAATGAAGTGGGCCCTCTAAACAGTGCAGTTGTATTTGAGTGGCACAATACCAGTTCCTTATAATTTATTTATTTATTTCTTACCACTGTATAATAACTTTTTTGTTTGCTTGTTTTGGAGGCACAGGAGTGAGGCCTTGATCCTACTCTTGTAACATCATTTTTGATGTTTCAGTTTTTGTGCCTGGCTAGGGTAGTAAAGTGAATCTGTCATCCTATCTGAAAGGGATTGATATATTTAAGCTGTTTGAAGACTGTAATTGCTGTCACTCAACTTCTTCCAGAAAAGACCACTTTAAAACCACAAGCAGCATCCTTGTCAGTATAGGTAAGAAAGGATACATGGGTTGCATATCTATAGAGGATGTTAAGCACGGGGCATAGCTGTTAACCAGACTGAATTATGTTATGAGCTGGAGTGTTGTGCAGCTAGGTATTCAGAGACTGCAACAAGCTCTCTTTCAGGATTGCTGAAGCTCTGAGATGGGAAATAAACGTTCATGTTTTTCCGACTCATCTTGTAGTTCCTTTCCTTACAGTTGGGTCTGTCTGTGTTACTTAAGTTCTACATGCCTCATGAAAGTTGTGCAGATCAGCTGTTCCTGTGTTAACATTGATATTTCTTAGAGGTGGCTGTGGTGGTCATGCGCGACAGTGAGCCCTGGAGGGGTGTTTTTATGAGCACTGACCTAGTTTACAAACAAAGGAATCCAAGCGGAGAAACAGGAGGGAGGGGGGGAATGCAGCCTCCAGAGAGCTTTGTGCAATTCGTCAGGGTCACCTTCTCTTCTAGAGGGGTTACTTTCCAGCCATGGCCTTCAACTTGGTTTCTGGACTGTCAGCATAAAGGAAATTAAAGGATGACTTAGAAGTCAATGTGAAATATAGTCACTGTGTTACAAGGCTTCTTTATTTGAAGCCTGAGAAGGATAAATGCTATGGGTTGCACAGGTAACGTGGTTGTGCAGCCTGTGTGGGCCTGCATGTATGAAAAGGGGTAGTCTTTCTTCTAGGATGAAAGTCCACCTTGCAGTCTCTAATAGAATTGTGATCCTTGTGTCTTCCTCTCTGGGCAGAAGGTGTAGTGGATCAATGATGCCGTCATGTATGTAGTCAAAGACCCATGACTTCTGTCATTCAGTTTCAGTACCCAAATAGCTCTGATTCCTCCTGTTTTCAGATGGCTCAATGCATGTGAATATCCGGCTTGTTTGCAAACAGCAGGCACTTTCTTCTGACTTTCTTCACAAGAGAACTTTGTCAGATCAGCAGCCACTAGCGTGCTGACTGCAGGAAGTCTTGACTTGAAGTAATTTAAAATGGAACCTGGAAGTATGTCTAGTAAACTGAGGAACACATGCTGTGTTAGTGGGGGAGTTGAAGGTGCACAGTGAGATTTCCTCCTTTATGGAGAGTAGTTATACTGATACCTCTGTATCTCTGTGTCATGTCTTACCAGTTAAAAAGTACTTAAGCCTGAATATATATTTGAATATAAATTAAAAGTCCTGTGAAAATTTCAAAGAGTAGGATGTAGGTCAGCTAATATATAAATCCTAAAAACAGGAACCCTAATAATTATGCTCAATAATCCTTAATTTTATGTGGGCAAGAAGACTAGTTTAAGGCATGGTGAAACAGCTAGTGCATTAAATGTTGTTATATACAACAGGAATGGTGGTGATGCTGGTTGTAAAGTTTCTGACTTAAACTTGTTTACATTGCTATTACTTGTTTACATTGCTATTAACTCTTGCACAGTTACCAGTCTGAAATATTGTGTATTTAATGTTTGCCTCAGGCTGAATTATTAGGAATATTCCCAGGCAGAGCACTTCTAAAAGATGTTAAGGAAAAAGTAATTGTACTGTTTTTGTTTGAAAAACATAACAAAACCCCTTTGTGATGGTAGCAGACAGCCCAGCAGATGTGTTTTCTGAGTGATGTAATAGCAAAAAAGGTCAGTGCTTGTTTGACTTCCATTCACAAAAGTATCTTAGGAAAGGGAAACCACAATCTTTATATAATATAGGTGTATTGTTCCTGATATTCTGTAGTCAGTTACAGCTGCTTCCTTTCTTCTGTATGCTGATAGAAGAGCTACTTCCTTTCCATAAAGTCTTGTAAAGGGTATGGAGAGGAACAGGAAAAAGAAAATAAAAACTCAGAATGATTGTGGCAAAAATTAAAATGTCAGTAACTTCAGAAAGAGTTTAATTAAGATCAGAGAACAGATGCACAAAAAAGACATGTTGCTTTGGTTGCAATAGCTATCCTTTCAGCATGTATTTGGTATGAGAAGCCTTTCACTTGTGTGTAGAGCATCCACATCAAGTCCTTGCACATTCACCCCTAGAGTTAACTTCACAGTGCTTCGCATGTTCAGTGACCCTTCCTCTTAGCTCTGCACTGGTGAAGCTGCACTTGGGGTGTTGAGTCCGATTTTGGGGCTTCTCAGTGTAAGAGACATGGATATACTGGAAAGAGTCTAGCACAGGGCCGTTCCAACAATGAAGGGTGTGGAGGACTGTCCAGTAATGAAAAGCTGAGAAAGCTGGGGTGCTCAGCATGGAGAAGGAAAGATCAGAGGAGTCTTGTTGGTGTTCGTAAATATCCTAAAGGAGGGTGGAAAGAGGATGGAGCTAGGGTGTCTTCAGTGGTGTCTAGTAACAGGACCAGAAACAATGGGCACAACCTAAAACACAGGAGTTTCATTCTGAACATCAGGAAACACTTTTTCACTGTGCAAGTGACCAAACACAGGAGCAGGTTTCCTTGAGAGGTTGTGGAGTCTCCATCAGAGCATTAATAAAAAGGAAAAGGACCAAAACTGAAAGGAAATTGAGTAGTAAGGGGGGAACAGTTACAACAGTGAAGGGGGTTGTAGGTCAGTTCAGTAGCAAGATACCTCGATCCGTTTGGCAAGACAATTGTGTACTTTGACCAATGTGGAAAAGAAGGAATATGTGGAATGTAAAGCATTGATAGCAGTCTTCAGAACTTGGGTGGATCCCATGCACTTTTCCAGGGTGTCTGAAGAGTGTGGTTCTGGCACATGATCTGCCACTTGAAGTGGACAAGGTGAGAGCTATTGCTGTGAAAAGTAGGGAATGGCGTTAGGGAGAGGACTACAGCAGCAATATTGAAAAATAAATAAATACTGTTGTCTTGACTGTGTAATCACTGTTAGCAGTATCATCTAATACTTGTTACCAGGAGTATGTTGACAATTCTGTTGGTTTTATTTGTTTCTCATGCTGGAACATCCAGCTCCACCCCTCTTTACAATTTTAGGTAGAGCTCTGTCAGCTGTTTAGCATGAAGACTTTTTGCATATGTAGGAAAGAATTACTATATGCATGTGTAGCACAGGAATTCCTGGTTGCGCCTTGTTTAGAAGAGCAGACCTGAGTGTCTCATCTTACTTCCAAATGTGCTAAACTTTTTACTTCTGTAGCTACCATTTTACTCCTGAACAGTTCTGGTTTATGTGTCATGTGATGGAAAAAATGTTTGTGCTCCACTGCACAAATTAACCAACAACCACTGTTCCCAGGGCTGTGTTGGCAGCTCTGTTGAAAGCATCAATAGCACTGCTAAGCAAGAGAGGGAACTACCAACAAAAGAAGCATGTTTGTTTCAGCTCAACTGAAACCACAAAGAAAATACTACTACAAACTTTAAAAAAAATTTGACAGATAAACTGTATTTTATTAGATTATCAGACTTCAGGGCACCATCAAATATTTAGAATACTAAATATTAATAAAATATTCTAAATAATGATAACCTTTTAAATAAATTGTAAAATAATATTTTCCGTAAGTTTTATGGAAGCAAACCACAGAAAGATAGATAGCCAACATTCTGTCCCATAAAATGAGCAAATGAACATTGGTTAAAACTTTTCCTATCTGTTTAAATGTAAATGAATAGAAGGATAACTGATTTTCTAAAATTCATAAAAATCCCAAGACTAATAACAAAATGCACTAATGGCAATAATGTCCTTATTCTTTAAAGGCATAGAAATATTTTATAAGCATAAGATACCTTACTTTGATGTCCAGTACAGGCATTGCAAGATACTATTCAACACTGGAGTATAAATTATGGCACGTAACTATTGGAGAGCTAGAACTTGCAACGGATATCACAAATGGTGGCATAACACAGGTCTGTTAGTGCATTGACAGAACAGTGTTTAAAACTGTGTTCTCACGTTTTAAGTATTTATCTAAAAAAGAAAAAAATACCAGAAGTAATGACATCTTATTTCTAGAAGCCCCTAGAATTGTTTTTGTATTTGACCCTGTTCTCAGATTTTGAAGATGGATCTCATTCCTGGAAATAGCTGTACCCACAATTCATATAGATGCCTGTATTCTGTTACATTCATGTTATAGAAACTGCCTGAGATCGTCATGTCGTGTGTACTAGGCATTTGGTGTATCTGTAGTAAGAGTCTATACCTGCTTTGACATGGTCAGGTTAAGATCTTGGTCAACTAAACTTGCAAGTAATTTTTATGTGGTGTTATTACTTGTATGAGCTTTTCTAGCAAAGCAGAAGGAAAACCCCTATCTCTTTTCCCACTGTTTCCTTCCTGTTTCCACCAGTGTCAGGCTTCAATCCTGTATTTGTTCAGGGTGCAGATTACTGATTTTTTTCCACATACAGGCTAGCCTCTGGTTATAGGTTATATGTGCTGCATATTGCATCTTTATTGTCTATGGCTTTTTAGCATTCTAGAAACAATGGTGACCATAAAACCTGTGCTTATTTACAGAACATAAGCCACGCTTCTGTGGGTTCTCCTGTAGGTATTCTCCAGCCAGGTCTCCAGGGGACACATTATATACATCTCCATTGCTTCTTTTTCTTTTACTCAATTCCTTCTTTTCAAAAAAAACTTTGCTTGTCTCCTCGCACTGGCTTTGTCCTATTGCATGCCTTGAGATTTTGTTAGCAAAAGTTTTAGCTACTCTTCTTCTTAAATCCGTAACTAACCAAGGATTTATAATATCAAACAAAGCTGTCCCATATCTTTTCAAGTGCTGCACCTAATTTTAAATACATAGATAGTGTCAGTTGTTGAGCCTGCTTGCATAAGTATATCTTGAATCTCCAGGTGTTTGCACGAGTAGAGATAATACTTCTTTTCACTTAGATTTTAGAAGCAATGGACTTTGTATCGGACATATAACATGAAGCAGCCAACATCGAACATGAAGTCTGTGCAGGCAGCTATTGAATAGGGTCTGCAGAGAGCGGAAGAGGGAGATGGAAGAGTATTATGTTTTCTTAAAGGTGTGATTTATATAGTCTTGGATCAACTTGTGAGCTAGACACAGATTTGCTAAGCAGTTTTGGTGATGAGTGATAAAATTCTTGGTCAGCAACATAAAGTTGCGATCTTGCTTTTAGTTAGCAGCTGTCGTTAAAGTGTTCACTGAAGTATGTTGGATTACCAGGCTTAATCCCCTGCCTTGTTTGAGAGGATTTGTACTCGTGCTTCCCAATCTCAGGAGATTTCCCTGGCTGCCACAAAATAAGAGGAGAGAGATGCACAGTACTTAATTTCTCCTCTTGGTGCCATTCCACTTTGTATAATTAATTAAGCTTTCACTGAGGCAGGGACCAGAACACAGCTGACCCATCATTTAAATACGGCCCTAATTACCAGACTAGAGAGTTCCTCCCCCTGTCTACCCTGGCCTTCCCCCCCACCACACACTCCATTTGACTCAGATGCTCTCTGATCTGGAAGACAGCAACATTTTCAGGAAGAAATAAAGTATTACGGAATAGCCTTATCACATGGCTAGGGTGTCTGGGTATCTTTGGATTTTTGCAGAGCTGATATATCAGGTGGGATTGCAGTTTCTCCACATGAAGTCATGGTGACATGAAAGACAGATCTCTATCTCACCTTTTTCATATGTCCAATCCCACTGAACTCTGAAAGCTAATTCGATTAAGTGCTCTGCTAACAGCACCAACAGAAAATGGGTTTGTGTGAACTGAGTTTTGATATGTGTATTTGTTGAATCAGATATTCATAACACTGATAGCATTCATAACACTAATATTGAACTCGCCTTCTTACCTTGCAGTGTTGTTTTAGAACTTTTATTTTGCAGTCAGCATCCACCTGGCACCATTACTAATTTTCCTTTTCACACAAAATTATTACATATGTTAGATAATACTTTTTTAAATAAGACTTGATCAAAATTAACAGCCTAATGCTCAGCCATCTTGAGGAGCTGCATGGAAATTAATGGCACAAGGATCCAGATTTAAAAAATAAAAAAAAAAAACAACTAGATGCTCAAAATTAAATTTAAATAAAATTTAAGTCTGAGTCCACAGTTGGGATTCTGAGAATCCTTATTCACCTGTCACTGTGGTATCAGATGTATCTTATAGATTAATGTGTAGCTTGAAGGTATTTAAGAGAGCTGTTGAGTTCCATTAATATGTTGGGGTTTTTTTTTGTTCTGTACATTAATGTGGTGTTCAGTGTGAAAATACAACTTCATCTTTCAGAAGAATCTTTATCCTTCAGAAGATACAATAAGAATGTACTAGAATTATGCCGGGTTTATCCCTAAAAAAGGAAACGAGGGTGCTATGTACTGGTTGCATTTACAACTTCTGCAGTCATCCTGATTCTAAGTTATGCTACACACATGCACACAGCTCTGCTCTCTGAAGGCTTTGCACTGAACTCTGCCTACAGTGATTACAGCATTCGTAGGGTATAGGCAGCTTCCACTTAAGAATTTGAGTATAATGTGGTTGCTAGCAAATGAAAACTTTTCAGAAGTTTCTTTGTTGCAAATGGTACATATGAGTCATGAAGAACACGGAGTGACTTTGAGATTGCTGGGAGAGTTCTAGCCTAATAACTGGAAGCACTCTTCCTACTTGCAAAGTAAAATCATGGACTTCAGTGCTTGACTAAAGATGTGTTTACGTTAGTGTCGTCAATCAAAATGTAAGCAGTTAATGAGTTGAAACTGGTGTTGATGGAAAATTTCTTTAGCTTATGAGGGTAGAAGGCTTTAAAGAGAGGATGTAAGGTCTTTTAACATATTTATCTCAATTGAAAAAACAGATACTTCAACAGATTTTGATATTACTAAAGTATAGTGGATAGAAATGCAACCTTTGAGACCTTATGTCAATGAGTGCATACAATAGAAATGAACTAAAAGTAATAAAATTATTATTCACATATTTAGTCTATCAGTCTGTATCTATAGAAGACATAGGTGCAACTATTTCAAAAAGTCTGTGTTACTAGCTCCTAAATTTTGGAGAGAAATAACCAGCTAATCCTTGCTCAAAGAAATCTCAAGTGAGAGTGACCAGAGCAGTCAGACATGGTGTGCAGGTTTTATCAGGTCTCTGAATAATTGATTGCACCACATACATGTGCATAATTTAATTTGGATCTGCCAAATACACTCCACAGAAAACAATGCGAGCTGTAGCGGGGGAGGGGGCAAGGCAGGAAAAGTGAAGATATAGTGCAAAATTAAGTTTTAATCTAGTAGCAGGAAGTTCATTCCATCCATGTGCTTTTAGAGAGTCCTCTGAGCTCATTAGAACCTACAGCACAAAACTTGCTGACTACTTTTCACATGAAAGATGATTCTGTCCTAGTTAGAAACTTGAAATAGGTTGGTTGTGAACTTCTTCTGAGTGGGGGAAATTATATCAACCATGGCTTTCCAGCTGTATTTTCTCTGGAAAGGAAAATAGAACAGCAGTGTGGATTTCTTGTTTATCAATTAATCCAGATAAAATCTGTTAAGAAACAAATACATGGGTGTTTGGCTTTGTTTTTTCCCCTTAATGTTGTATTACCCGTACATACTTACCATGGAAGCTAAAATTAAACACACACAAAGAGCAGTGTAGCTTGAAGTGGCAGCTTGCAGAGACTGGAGCAATAGGTAGGTTTGAGAGATAGTGTTTTCAAAACTGTTTTAAAACAAAGATTATCATATTGTTGTGAATAACCTTTGTTCTTTTCTATTGAAGATGGGACTTGGAACGTGGAGCCACAGAAGACAGTTAAACTGGGGGTTCTGCCTGTTAGAAGTCTGCTTGTAATGGAGGAGACCATTTGGGCTGCATGTGGTGGGCAAATTTTTATAATCAGCACTGTGACACATTCCATAGAGGTAAACACTTTTAAAATCATTGTTCATATACTATGCTATTAAGTGTAAGTGGTAAATTTTAAATGTTAAAATCTATTTAAGAAGCTTTACAATTCACAAAGCTTTTAATGGAAGATGTTTTCAGTTCTGTTAAATGCCGCTCCCCACAGTTTAAAATTCTGCCATAGTGCTCTCTGCTGATGCCTCGTTAGACCTAGGTTTGCTCCTGTTTTCTCCCAGGTTTCCATAAGGTGCTTAGAACTTGCAGAGTATTTGGGGCAAGAGGTGAGCTTAGAAATGAGTTCTGAGTAAAGGCAGCAAAGAAGTGGGTGGCTGTAGGAATTCCTGTTAATTCCAGAAGAAGGTTTAACTAAGAGACCGCATCTACATAATTAGATGTTACTTGTACTTTGTGATGATTTCACAGTATATTTCTTCAGAGTTTTGCATTTCAGTAGCCTACAAAAATTTGCTTTATGTAAGAACATAATCCCAATGAATAATCATTAAAACGTCAGCTTTTCTGGAAGGAGAGGAGTGTTAAGGATACAAGCTCATATTTGTCACCACATTTTCCAGCAAATGTTAAGCCCGCATTTCTGTCAAAACTGCAGCTTCCACCAAAAGAGTGTCTTGTTGGTCTAACGGTTAGAGTTTATGAAGCATTAGGAGTTAAATCTCTCTTCAGCCTACAGTACAGTTACACTGAGTTGCATGATGTTTACAGCCATGAAGTTCTTTCAAACAGGAGTTGTGATGAGCTCACAGCCTCCTTCTTTGTGTGCTTTGTTGCTGCTTTTTTGTTTCATTGATGATTGCGTTTTCTCCCAACAATTGTTTATTTGGTACAATTGATTCTGTGAGTCATTGTCATGGGTTTGCAGGGAAATAGCTAACATCCTAATTCCTCTGTCTTTATCTGTACTTTCTGAGAGATTTGTTTCATCAAGCAGATGCTTGGAACATGTATCTTCCTACTTCGTTTTTCTTTAAGGTTTGTTTTGTTGATAATTTGAATGGTATGATGAGAGAAAGATTTCTGGAAGAGTGATGTGGATAGGTGCATGTAACAGAATTTTATTAGCTTTGCTGGGGGGACCGGGTAGCTGCTGGGACACCTGGTTACTGTCCTACAGACTTGGATGATGAATCTCTGATTCTTACTAAGAAATACATAGTGACAGTAGGAGATTGCAGCCAGATTGCTCCTGTGTGAGGTGGTTACATACAACTAGATCTGTGTAAATAAGTTTGGCAGTTCTGGCCTAATTCTATCACAAAGCTCTTCATAGATCTGCTGGTAAGGCTGCAGACTGGGCTGGGCTGTTTCAGCACAGGTTTTCTTTATGTTTGTTTTTTTTCTCTTATTTTGTTTTGTTTTGTTTTGTTTTGTTTTTTTAGACTAGCTGAGGGTCATCTTTATTCCATAGCTGATTTGGAATCCTATGTATTAGGTTTGGATGTTACTCACTTTTCCTGTTTTTTATCTCCTCTGATATGGATAAGGCTTTTGATTCACTTGTTTTAATGATATGCTGCTGTAAGAGAATGTTTTAGGAAATGTCTTTTATTGGCACAATGCCTCGATCTCCTTGGCAAGGGACATGAGAGAAGCACATCAATTGCTGTTATATCTTCATTCTTCCTGTGAAGAACAAATTAGTCCTTAGTGTTGTACCTAGATCTGACAGTTGTATTGCTTTTGGTACTGACCTTGATCCAGTAGTGGTCTCTGTGCCTGTAGACCCTTATGCTCTGCAAAGGCAGTATGAGTTTGTTTCAAAACAACAGATAATCGCAGAGTATTCAACAGAATAAAGTCACCAACTGAACGGCATTCTATCCTGGTTTGTTTTGTCTTGTTTTTAAAACTTGGCCAACTATACATGAGTTACTCTGAAACGTTCAGTTGAATAAACAAAACAAATTAAAATCCCAATAACGTAAGTGTGTGTTGCCTGAGTAGTATAACGTCTTTAAAGTAGTAGAAGTCATTTGTTTTACCTTGTGAACAGTGGTACCATTATGCATCTCTTGTGAAGCTTGAGAAATGATGTTTCAGTTCTTGGCGCAATCAAGCACCCGCTCAAAAGAAATACTCCAGCTATGCCTGCTGCTGCTGAAACAATAGTGAGCTTTATAGAGTAGTGGGGCTGTGCTGCTGCGCAGGCAGGCTGTGGCATCCAGAACATCTTTTGCAGCCCTCTGGTTGCTACAGGGTTTGAAAGAGGCAGCCTGAGAGAGGAAAAGCTGGGCTCTGACTAGAGAGGAATGTAGGTATAAAAACTAGAAGAGAAAGGAAAAATGGAGTTCAATTTACTTATTTTTGAAATTTTCTTTTAACAAAGAGAATAACATTTTTGTCCCTTTGTATTTCTTGTTATGGGAAGAAAACAAATGAAGAAAAAGGCCAGATACTGGTTTTCAGATTGACATGTAATTGAAACATGTCAAAGTTACCCTTCATACAAAAACTTGTGCTTTTGTAAAAGAACATACAGGTTTGCAGTATGTTCCTCCTCCATATTGGAAGTCCCTTTGAATGAGAATAGTTATTTTTACATGCTTGTTGTGGTGTTTACAGTTTTACTTTAAATGTATCTGTGTGTTTCAGCAGACAGCCCTTGTCCTGGTTTAAACTCAGCCATGTAGACTCTCTGTCACTCCCCCCCTTGCTTCCCCCAGCTCCCTGTGGGATCGGGAGGAGAACTGAAAGAATGTAACTCCCACGGGTTGAGATAAGAACAGTCCAGTAAATAAGGTATAACACAAATCACTGCTGCTACCACCAATAATAATAATAATGATAAGGGAAATAACAAGGGAAGAGAATACAACCGCTCACCATCCGCCAACTGATACCCAGCCCGACTGAGCAGTGATGTCACCCTTCTGGGTAACTGCCCCCAGTTTATATAGCAGGCATGATGTGCTGTGGTATGGAATACCCCTTTGGCTAGTTTGGGTCAGGTGTCCTCTCTCTGCTTCCTCCCGGCTTCCCCTCTTCCCTGGCAGAGCATGAGACTCAGAAAGTCCTTGGTCAGACTAAACATTACTGAGCAACAACTAAAAACGTCGGTGTTATCAGCACTGTTCCCAGGCTGAAAATCAAAACCACAGCACTGCACCAGCTACTAAGAAGGAGAAAAATGACTGCTACTGCTGAACCCAGGACAGCTGTACAACAGCAGGACAGGCTAAGTGGGAGTATAATGAGTTGGCTGATAAATTGGAATGTGACAAAAATGCATGTACAAGTTGTTTACAGTGGCGCCAGCAGAATTGTCAGCTGTGGTCAGAGAGCTCCAGAGAAAATTCATTTTTAGGATCCACTTTGTTTTTCTTATAATTTCAAACAGTGCAAGTTGCTGGTCAGGTTCACTTCAGCGGCCTGGGATCTGGCCCTGAGAAGTTTTCAGGAGTCAGTTGGTCACCTTTGTAGAGATGTGTGAGTCTGTAAACAGAAGTTAGTCTTTGGAAAGCCTTTTTTCAACAGAAAACTATTTAGCATTATGGAAGTATCAGGAAATTTAGTCAAAAGAGCTGTTACTGGCTTTGAAAGTTGTTGTTCACGGGTGAGTTCTTCTGTTGAATAAATTGTATGATTTTCAAATTGTGTATATCATTTGGTAAAGAATGAGGAAAACAGTGAATATAAATGTGCCTACCAGATGTGCTTACCTTGCATTCCACAGTGGTGTTATACAGAGAGTCAAGAAGTAATATAGTAACACTCAGAATTTGAACCACTGCTTAGTAGCTGAAGAGAAACTTTTCTGTTCATTTACTAAAACCTGAACCTATGTAGAAGTGTTAACAGATGAAAGGAAAAAAAAAATCCTCTTATTTTTAAGCAGCCACTTTCTCAGTGGAAAGCACTACTTTATGGAGTAGTAAGGCATGAAAAGAATATTAAGTGTCTACTAAGTATAATATTAGAAGTTACACTTTGTGAAAGATTAAACTTCTCTTTATTTATCTATGATCTTAGACTGGGTGTTGAATTTAGATGGAGAATTTGAACAGTGTATCTATAACCCTAATATACTCAAAATACAGCTGCCTTAGGATAAGGGCTTATCCCGAGCAACATGTAATTCAGATTTTGATGCAGAATGACTAAGTGTAAATCTTAATTACAATGTATAGAAAATTTAGGTGTACCTTATGTAGTATGAATATTGGAGCAGATACTTACTTTCATATCCCTTAGAAAGAGATTTCTGTCCAAGGAACAGTTTGTCGTTTACTTAGCCAAGGAACTTTTATGTTTATCATACTAGCTGTCTGTATTTGATAATAGCTGGCACAACATTAAAAGGCTGTGTTTAACTTCAGAGGCAGTTTACTTTCAATATAAAACTGGGAAAAAAAATCCCTACTTTTTGTTAATAATTAAAGAACTTTGCTACAGATCTGTCTTGCACATTAACAGGGCCATGTAGAAAGGTTTTGGCCTTCACAGAGCCATGTAGAAGTTTTCATTGGGAAGGCACTAGATCAAGGGAAACATCTACACTCAAAGTCTTGTGTTACCTTCAGGTGGATTTTGTTGCTTCTAATGAGAAGTATCAATATTTTGAAGGACAGAAAAAAAAGCCCAAACTAATACTATTGAAAATCAGAAGTGTCTGAGTCAAAAAGCAAGCCACAGTATTAAGGCTCACATTGTTATATACATAGGTGAGCAAATAACTGTGTATTTATATTCATAAATTATCTATTATTTCTGAAAATTACTTTTTCCTTGATTCTATTATCTGTGTTCTGAAAAGACCACCTAACAGAACAGAAGAAATATTTTTATTGTTTGAAGAGGAGTTCTGCTGTAGATAAAAGTAACATATTAGGAAGAAATCTGCCCACTCATCTGTACTTCATCTGTGGTAGTTTTCCCAAAGGAGTATCAATAAAGAAATAAAACTGCCTTTTAAGTTTGAGCTGTTGCAGGCTTGCCAGCCCCTACCATATAAGAGTTTTAATAATTACAGTATCTAAGTTGCTGTGAAGTCACTCTGTCTTTAGGCTGAGAATCCTTCCATGCTAATGAAGATGTATTTCAATTAAGGGTAACATGAAAATTAAAGCATCATATGCAGTATTCAGAACAAGTTCTGAGCAGAGGACACATGCCCTTGACATGGAGAACAGAGATACAATGCATGCACTAAAAAGCTGATAAAGAAGGTTGAATGATGTTCCTCAGTTTCATCTCCCCCCCTGAGTCATTGTTTTTCTTACAGAGCCATTTTGAAGCCCATCAAGAGGAAGGGATGGTCATCTCCCACATGGCTGTTGCTGGAGTGGGAATCTGGATTGCCTTTACATCTGGATCTACGCTTCGCCTGTTCCACACTGAGACACTGAAACACCTCCAAGATATTAACATTGCCACACCTGTTCACAATATGTTACCAGGTAGCTGAATCACATCACGTGATAACATTTTTGTTTTGTCTTTATCATTGTTATGTACAACACTCTCCAGAGTGTTGTAGATTAGGACAGAATCAGAAGGTCCATCTAGGACTTTGAGTCTGATAACTGTCTCATGACTATTTAATAAATCACAGCCTGTTGCCTGCCCAGAAAAGCAATGTGTATAGTGAGCTGATTGAGTAGCAGCTGTCCTCCTCAGAGGTTATAAATGTAATTGTACGGGTAAGCAGGTGGACTCTTCTGTTCAAGGACGGGCTTGGGGTGTTTTTTTGTGACTGAAGCAGCAGGACAATGGAGTCTACCATAAAAATGTGTTTGCTTTGCAGAGTTTAGCATTTGCATCTGGAGCTTATTATAATGGAGTCCATTGGACCAAAACCCACTTGCTTAATTTTAATTATATCTGTAGACCCAGTGAACTCAGCTGAAGCACTCACATGCTGCCATTTCGAGTGTGTTCAGTGTTTTGCTGGATTGGAACTTTAATTTGTTGAATAAAGACGTTGATCTTATAAGTGAAGATGGAACCTGTGGTTGCTGGGATAAAGTCTAACAGATCTTTAAGAGTTTTAAAACAGAAGCTATTAGAGACAGTTGTACTGGCCTGTATCAGTTTTGAAAATGAATGGCTAGGACCTGAGGATCAGCACATCAGGTGGGAGCTGTGGCATTGCTAGCAAAAGGGACAGATGGAAAAGTGATGCTGGCATGGCTGAGTGTAAGTTCTCCATGAGACGACAACCGTTCTCTCTGTTTCTCCCTGTTCATAGACTGCAGTGGACCAAGCTGCTGCAGTTTTTATGGGCAACGTGTGCACAAGCTTTGTCACTTTGTTTCTAGGAGAAGCCAGCATTTCACACACTGAGATTATATTCTTACAACAGTTAGGTATAATCTTGCTTCAAAAGTGCTTCACTTCCTCATTCTTTGTCTTCTTTTCATGTTTTCTTTCAGATGACATTAGCTTTGCAATAAGGTCTATTTTAAATTGTGTCTGTTTATATTATGTTCTAGACAGGGTGTTTTTTATGTGTGGTGTCTGTAGTTCCAACACTGAGCAGCAGCAAAGGGCCATCCTTCAAATAAGTGATTTGATTAAATTCATCAGTTATGCAAAGAAATCAAAAGCAGTGGTAAAAAAGTTAACTTTGATTATGTTCTGATGTTTATAGCAGGGGGAAAAGGGAAGTAGGGCCTCCCTCACCTATTTTCTGCATATAAAAACTTAATAAAAATTAGCTTTAATGTCCATTGCCATGGCAATAAAACTGCTGATGTAACAAACCATCTTCTTTAAAAAAGTTTTAGCTAATTATATCTCCTTGGTGTCACTCTTCCCCGTTTGAGTTCCTTTTTTTTTTCCCCCTCAGTGTCTTTACAGACAGCATGCCATGAATGGAAATGGAAATTTATTTCAGGACTAGAACATTATTACAACAAACGTTCCAGGGGAGAATCCATTCTAAAAATGAAATTCAGTTTTTTCAAAGCAGCTCTTGGGGCTGTTTGTATGATCCCTACAGTGCTGCAACAACATATAAAAGTCAGAGGACTAGGAGATTTACATAATAAAGCAGCAGTAAAGACCTTTTGGAACTAAAAGCAGCCAAAAAGTAAATCAAGGTCTGTAGTATATCCAGAGATTAAAAAAAAAACAACCAACCAAACAAACAAACAAAAAAATCAAAAAACCCCAAAGAGAAACAGAAAAGGAATTAAATAGACGTGTATTTACAAGATGCATATTTGCCTTTACTGAGGACTTACAGAACTTCTATTTTTAAAGGAAACACCTCTGATAGTTTTCTGAAATCCAACAGGAATTCTTTAATATACAAAAAATAACAGACAAGTAAAAATTCAACTGATATCAAAATGAAAGTGAAGAAATTGATGTCAAAATATTGCTAAGAGTCTTAAAAGGGTAAGATTTTGGTATAACTCCAAAGACCCTGGACTTATTTTGCCAAGATTTTAGTAGGGACAACAATACGTAATGTTGACCAAATAGAATCATAGAATCATAGAATAGTTAGGTTTGGAAAGGACCTTAAGATCATCTAGTTCCAGCCCCCCTCGCACTAAACCATATCACCCAAGGCCTCGTCCAACCTGGCCTTGAACACTGCCAGGGATGGAGCATTCACAACCTCCCTGGACAACCTATTCCAGTGCCTCATCACCTTAACAGGAAAGAATTTCCTCCTTATATCCAATCTAAACTTCCTGTTTAAGTTTTAACCCGTTACCCCTTGTCCTATGACAGTCCCTAATGAAGAGTCCATCCCCAGCATCCCTATAGGCCCCCCTTCAGATACTGGAAGGCTGCTATGAGGTCTCCACGCAGCCTTCTCTTCTCCAGGCTGAACAGTCCCAACTTTCTCAGCCTGTCTTCATATGGGAGGTGCTCCAGTCCCCTGATCATCCTCGTGGCCCTCCTCTGGACTTGTTCCAACAGTTCCATGTCCTTTTTATGTTGAGGACACCAGAACTGCACACAATACTCCAGGTGAGGTCTCACAAGAGCAGAGTAAAGGGGCAGGATCACCTCCTTCAACTTGCTGGTCACGCTCCTTTTGATGCAGCCCAGGATACGGTTGGCTTTCTGGGCTGGAGATGTTGTTTGTGTCTCCATTTAAAGCAATGTAAATAAGAGGAGCATCACTTGATGAAGTTAATGAAATAATTTTTTTGTTATACAGTAGAAATAAGAAAATCCTGTTGTTGTCAGGAATGGTTACTGTGAATTGCAGCTCTGTATTTAAAGCATAGCTGCACTAATTAAGATAGAGGAGTAGGAGGTTCTCATAACCTTAGTAACCAGTCCTCATAGCATTAGATTTACCCGTTTTGTTCTTAGGAGAGGGCTGCTTTAAATACCACTGTCTGCTCTCCTTGTTGTAGAGGAGAGAAAGGAATTTACCTCTCCTCTCAAGAGGATATTCTGTCCCACAGGACAGAATCACAGGGGAATGAAGTGTAAGGGAAACGGCATAGGACATGATTCTCCTTACAATTTGGAAAGGTTTAGTAATACAAAGAGCAGGATGTGTCTGGCAGAATCTTTTATCTGCTGGATGTGACTTTGTAAATCTGTGGCAGTCTACTTATGAAGAATGAAGCTGGAAGGGCTCTTGCTTTCTGGAGTTACGGGAAGTTTGTGTGTAGGAATGCAGCACTGGAAATTAAACCAGTGTCCTGGAGTCAGCTGTGGGGTAGATATTCAGTCGAGAGTGGTCTGCAGTGCCTTTACTTCATATATCATCAGAAATACTTCCTAATAATGCATAAGAAGCTTGTGTTCTGTAACAAAACAGCAAAAAACAACAAATGCTATATGAGAAATGAAGGGAATGGTTGAAAGAGCAGTGTCATTGTTATTGATCCAGGCAACAGTTTATTTTACTATTTAGTAAACAACAGTACAAGTGGCCAAGTGCAGCTCTCCTAGCTGAACAGCAGAAAAAAACCCAAATCTATTAACACTTGAAGTCAAATATATCTGCTAATGCAGTGTACTTCATTTGTAAAGCAAGTTTATGCTTAGTGTTTATGATCTTTTGTGATCAGTGGTTCAAATCTCAACAAAGGCAGCTTTTTGCAGCCTTTATCACAATGCATCAAAACCAAAATCGTGCTGTATGTAAATAGGCTGCCCACTTGTTTTGTCATAGTCACATTCAATATTTCATTATTCAAGAACATCCTTGAACACGTTTTTCATTTCAGCTTTAAGAGAGTTTGCCCTTTTAAAGAGGTTACTGTGACCTTGATACATATCATTTCATTGCTTGTATGGATGATGACAGGTTACTTGTTCAACAAAGAGGTCATTTCTGCTGAAGGTGCTGTATTCTGATTATATCCATATATCCCCTAATGGTATGTGTGTTTCCTGGAAACAGATGAGAAAGGCAAAGAAAATAAGTATCATTTCCTCTGTGTGGAAAACAAACTCTACTTTGAAGCTTACAGCTTGCTTTTGTCCCCACCCTACCAGATGCCAGACCATAAAATGCAGTGGGTTTATGATTTTACTACTGGGAAACAATAAAAATATTGGGGGAAACTTTAGGTCAGCCCAATTGATCTGTACAGTAGGCTTATTTTTTATATAGTAAAAGCAGCATGGTCATGTAAGGGGATAGGCACCAGTATGCCCTTGCACCCACGTATGGCTGACTTCAGGAGATCTATATGGGAACACATGAGGATTTACCCAGTCTGGTGGTGGTTGTAATTGAGACCTGAGAAAGGTGAACAAAGAGCAGAACATAGGCAATAAAGCCATTTGTCCATGTATAAGTGTAATTGCTGGGTTTGTTCTTCATAAAGTTGTTCTGGTCAGATTATTTACAGGGTTTAACAGCTCTGTCTGCATTGGGACAGTGATCTAAAAAGTATCCTTTAAAAATTAGAGTACTTGATTAGTTTTGGCATTTAGGTTTATCGTTTTCCCTTTTTGTTAATTTCTGTGCTTACTGTATAATGTATTCTGCAGAATTGGATATTTTTTTCTGAATTCGAAATATATCAGAAAGTCACGGAAAAAAAACAAACTAAAGAATATGATTTCAAACCTTGGCTAGCAGATAAATTAATATTTTAAACTAGTATTTCAGTATTTAAGAAAAAAAACTTTTTTTTGTATATATTTTTTAGTTGTTACATGCTATTTCAAAGTATATTTTCAGGTGCAGATGTTTCCTGCTTTTCCAGGATTTCAAAGCAGGTAGTTTTCCTTTTGACCTCACTATAGATGGTTCATGCCTGCAGTTATGCTCAGTGTTCAAAATTCTAAGTTGCTGGCTGATAATTTACTGTTTTCACCTATGGAAACAGTAATACATATAACCAGTTTTACCTGGTAAAAATTATTGGTTAGAAGTTGCTTCAGGGTTGGAGTATGAAATCATATAAAATTTTACATTTTAAATGCCTAAAAAAGCATTAAAGATCTATTGTTTTAAATTGTGAGCATCATGCTTCTGCGTGGGGTTTGAAAGGCAACAGTACAATTGGAGCTTTTGATAAAAGCTTAAAAATTGTACTTTGATGTGTTTGTAGTTTGCAAAACAAGCTTTAAGTAAAATGGAGTGAGATTAAGGTAACCTGCAGTTATTTTGCGCTTGCTGTGGCACTGGTTGTGGTAGAGGACTTGCATGTCATATGTAACTTGAGTGAGCCTGAGCTCTAAATCCTGGACTTCAAATACCAATTTTTGAAAACTCCAGTGTACAGAACTGTTTGGGCATCACAGTTTGAAATCCTTTTGTGCTGAAGGAGGGAGTGCCTTTTGTGCTTTGTTTTGGAAACTAGATTAATCCCGTTAATATCTTAAAAATCCAAACTCCCCCACCCTCCCAAAAAATAAAACAAAACCCAAAAAACCCACACCCAAAACCAAGCCCCAAACATCCCCACAAATAAAAACCCATGCCACACCAAAAAGAACACCACCAAAACAACCAACCAAAAGACCCCATCAAAACGCAAATTCCGAACTTTGAAAGGCTTGTAATTTACTATAGACATAGACCATCCATGACTGTTTAGCTGAGGAGGAATGATGCAGTCCTACCAGCATAAACACCTACAGTTTATGGAAAACAACATAGGTATCTGTGAAGGTCTGCATGAGCAGATGGAACCTCTTCAGCTTACTCGTGCCTGCTTTACACCTGCCGAGTGTGACTTAATCATCATGCCTTTAGAGTATTTTAGGATGTGGTTTTGAGTAGACAGAGCTGGGATTCCAAGTCTTGCCCTACATGTGTATTTTACAACACACCATTGTTGGGTTAACTGTAAAGTTCTGTGAGGAAAAACTTGACCTAGTCTGCCTTCTGCTATCCAGTTGAGTGCTTTGGGCTTCAGTCAAGCCACTCCTCCCCTGCTTTCCCACTGAGTTTGTGATTCATGTATTCTTGAATGTGAATTGGCTCAGCTTCAAGGAATGAGATGGAAAATGCATTTATTTCTGATACACCATAATTAAGGTCATTTTCCAAAGTGTGGAACATGTGAGTTCATCCAAGTTGTATCAGATGTGGAATCCAAATTCCCTACTTACTGATGAAGTGATTAACAACTTGAGAGTTGTGGTGAAGATGGGAATGACTGCTCTCTTGCATGTAAAGTTAACCATAAATGAAAGAACATGTAGGGTTTGAAGTTGGAGGATTCCAGCAGAGTTTAAATGCTCCTCCACATAAACTGTCCGCCTTCTGCATACCCTCCCATCACACAGGTGCAGACAGCACTTCTTTTAACTTCTCTTTATACACTATGTGCTCTACTCTCTTTGCCTTGGTTGCCTTCCACTGGATCTTTTCCAATATGTCGATGTCATTTTTGTATGGGGGACCCACACTCAAACAGGGGAGACAGGACTTCTGCTACAGTTTCACAGAATAAAAACTTGGAAAAAAAGTAATTGTGAACAGGTTTGAGTCTTGAGTATAGTGTGTTATGGCATATATTGTTGAGTACTGTGAAATGAAATTTCAGTTTTATTACTGAGAATATACAAAGTCTATATATAAAAGCATATTTGTGAGAGTAACCTATGTCTACTTTTAGATACTGTGGTTTAGAGATTTAGGACAGAATGTTTCAGAAATGTAATACTATTTAAATTTTCATGTATGTAAAGTTCTAATACCACAATCCAGCAAAATATTTGCCTTTTTGATGAGTGCTTTGCTGAATGAGAAGATGCAGCTGACTGTGTGTGTGTCTGAAGTGACTTTGATCTAGGCAAAGATTATTGCTCTAAAGTAATAGAGCACTTCCTGAACTCTGCAGGGCAGCAACGTGTTTCTGTGACCAGCCTCCTGGTGTGCCATGGCTTATTGATGGTTGGAACAAACCTGGGTATAATAGTAGCATTACCAGTGCCACGCTTGCAGGGGATTCCCAAAGTAACTGGTGAGTGAAATTTTCAAACAGATCAAGTCCAGTGGTTTTATACTTAAGATTTATTTTCTCTTCTGACAGTAGTTTAAGTAAACCTACCAAATTGTCTGCATTGTTTAGATATATATCTGAGCTTTGTGATGAAATGGTATTTGTTGTTCTTCCCGAGCTTTGCAGTATACCCAGACACTTGCCTAGTTTTGCCTCAGTTGTTTGAGCCGGAACAATTGTTTTTCTTTAAGGCATAATAATAGGATAGGCATTAATCCTGATGCAGTACAGTCAAATATATGGGGATGAGAAGAGAATGCAAATAATCTTTATTTCAGAATTGGGGAAAATAGATGCATTGGGTTTAGAGACACAGATGCTGAAAACAGTGTGTTGTCCAACTGTTTATTCAGTAAACTGGTTTTATGCCCTTTCTTCCCAAACAGGAGACATGGAATATATGAGAATATATCTTTCATTTTTATGACAATGATCAAGATTTTTGTGTTTTGGAGAGTTGAGTTACTTCATATTACCGCATTTGAAATACAAAGGCATGAATACTGCTGTATCACTTTGCAAATGTTTACGGTACTAGGAGAAGCAGGATTTTAGACATATGGTTAGTTAGGGGCTTTACACCAGTGTTCTGGATGTTTTGGGTTCACAGTTCTGCTTGAGCTTTGCACTGTGGTGGGAAGCTGGCAGGTTTTGAGGCAAGCTGTTTGAAACTTCCTTGGAGAGAGGGGAGAGCTTATGTAACTATGTAAAATGAAAACTAAATCCTCTGTGTTCAGCAAAATATGCAGTGATAATCCAGTATGACACAGGATAAATGGGGAACCTATGTTAGGTGAAAATAAATGCAATACAAGAAAATGCATAGTTGCAGAATCAGAAAATCTCTCATTTTATTCTTTCATTATCTGTTTTCATTATTGTGGTTTATATCATCTGTATGTTCTTGCATTTATTTTGGATTAAAATTTATGTCATATTTCACAGATCCAGCAACGTTACATTTAGAGATCTATTTTTCTAGTCTTTGATATTGTGTTTGGAATTTGAACTGAAAAATTGTGAATTTTTCCAGTTTTGCTTCCAATAGTGATAATTCATCTTTATATCATTGCACTTTCTATAAAAGCAGGATACGTTTTATTACATCCTGGAATGCATTAGGGAGTTAGGAATGGACAGAGTGATTTGTAGGGTTGTGGGGTTTTCCCTTTGATAGCCTAGCTCTTTCCCGTATTGTAGCTATTTTATAGAATCCCACTTTTTTTTCTCTTCTTTTTTGCTGTAAAAGCCACACACACTGATATTGTTATAGATTCTGAGTTTGGCCATACACAATTTGGGGGTTTTATACATTTTAATAATTTGCACAGTGTAAATCTTCCTTGGATCATAAACATCCCACTGTTTAAATACTTTTTTTTTTAAAAAAAAAGGGGGGAAAAATAATGGTTTGGTCATTTCCTCATGAATCTGACATGGTAATTAGACAGCCATTTCAAGGATGAGTTTTAATTCCTGCTGCATAGTGTGGAGGGGTCTGTTACAGTGAAACAGGTGTTCCTCTCTATTTTGAAGAGGTACAGAGGTACAAGAGGATTCATTGAAAAACACAGATTACTGGAGAAAACTCAGTGTTACAGTTTGTGAGAACAGAGCACAAAGGTAAGTCAAATTAAATTTATAATGCCATGTTTCAGGTGATTTATTAGTACAGTCCTAAATCACTTGTGGTACATTAAATTACTTTTTTGTGCTTATTTTTTCCTGTAAATTGTGTACACATAAGGCAGAATAGGGTTTTAAGAGTTATGCTATTCTGAGCAAATTTCACTAATCATGGTGAAACAATGTACTAAAATAATGTTCTTTAATTGTCTTTCTCTTTTGGCTCCAGGAAGAGGAATAGTGTCGTATCATGCACACAATGGCCCAGTCAGGTTTCTTGTAACAGCTGCATCTATAAATAAGAAGAACAGAAACAAATTGCGGAACAGCCTGCTTACTGGTTCAGAACCTAAAGATGATGACCAAAAGAACGTTCTGCACAATGAAAGACCAGGTTCTTCCCTTAGTAATGCCCATGACACGGCAATTTGGCTGGGGGGTTCAGTAGGATCCATTGCACAAAAAAGTGACTTGTCATCATCTTCTGGATCCCTTACTATGTCTCATGGATCAAGTTCCCTAGAACACAGGCCAGAAGACAGTAACATTTACGAGCTTTTGAAAGATCAGAATATCTCATTTAAAAGTAAAAGACAGAGATCCAAAAAAATGAAAGCAAGTTCAGTATTAGTCATTTCTGGTGGCCAAGGACACAGAAGAGTGAACAAGAAGACCAAGCAGCAGCGACAAGATGAACTAGTGTCTTCAGTGATGGTCTGGCAAATCCCACTATTAAATATCTAACTGAATTAAATCCAAGACACCTTCTGCTGTTAAAAAAATCTGATATCCTTTTACAGCAGATGCCAGCTTAGGACCCAAATGGATAGACTTTATGCACCTGGAAGCAATTTCAGCAGTCTGTGATCACAGGATTAAGAGTTGTGAGATAGTCTTTACATACTTAGAATATTCTGCAGTATTAGAGTATCGGAAAATGTTCAGCCATTGATGCTGTCCTTGATACTTAAAACAAAAAGGATCTGTTAGACACTTTTAAACAGTTTTAGAATCTCTGCCTTATTTATATTCACATTTATAAATACCATAATTATGTTCTATAGCACTTAGAGAAGGCAAGGAACACATGCCATGTTTCATGCTGGTTTTTGCTGATGTAAATCAGCTGTTGTTTCATTTTCTAATTTGGCATATTGCATGGACTATACATTTTAACACATAAGCAAATATTTTAAAACAATAAATAGTCTCATGCAAACTAATAATAATTTGGTAATTACTAGAATAGTTTGTAACATTATATCACAAGCCAGAGTTTGTCTGGACAAAAGCAGTTATTAATTGATTGGTATTTGTTTATTTCAACATAGAAAATAGATTTTAATTATTATTAATATTTCTAATGCTCAGTATTATTAAAAATGTTGCAGTACAAAATGCGAATGCATGTTCTTGGTAGGTGCAATGTGTCTGTGACTCTCCATCACACAGAGAAAGTTCAAAAGATGCTATGTCTTACAGAAAACAGAAAATACAGGTACAGGGCAGCTGTGCCTTGTAGTGCTGTTAATGCGTTCCCCCCGGCAACTCAGTACCTAAAGCTAGACGTGGACTATGCCATTTTTAAGGCAGATGCACATCCAGTAAATTAATAATTAAATCGTTAACTGGGGAGAAAGATACTAATATTGGAATATCTATAGGAAGTACAGGGTAATCACTGTGGGTGTAGGCACTACATCAATAGATTTGTGCTGTGTCCTCAGGCAAACGTCAGTCAAATAATGTCACAGCACAACAGGAGAGATATGGTCATACTTTGTGGTGGTCACCTCTTTCCAGACAGAATTTCAGCAAAATGTGGTCATGCAAATGGATATTGTGAAAATAGCATGCACAGCTTCATTCACTCAGCTGGGGAAGCACTTGCTTTGGTAGTGTTAGAGGGATGAGTTCTAAAGAGAGATCTAATTGTCATTTCTTAATGAATCAGTGTATTTCCAAAAGAAACTCTGAATTTGGGATTCCTACTGAAATTGCTTTTTGCGCTACTGACTGCATACGTGAAATATAAGACAAACCTTTCAGCTCACAAAGATCTTGTGATGAGGCACATCCTGCAGTCAAAATATGTTTAATACAGATAACATGTTGAATTGAGTCACTGGAAACATCCTTTTCCCTCATCAATAGACTGAAAAATGCAGATAAATTAGGATGATTAAGTTTCCGCTGATTATGTGAAGAACTCTAATACTGCCCATCAGTAAAATGCAAATTAAATATATCTGAAGCAGAACATTTGTCAGATATGTGCAGTGAGTGGAATCAAGTAAAACTTCTGGGTGCTTTGGTACCATAATTATTCCATATCCCGTTAAGGAAAGTTACTTGGTACCACTGAAATTATTTCTGCTACTTCTAAAACAAGCTCCTTGGTTCCACCATGTTTTTTTTCAATCTGCCTAGTTTAAATCAACATCAACCATAATTAGTGTGTTTCCCAGCATGTGGCAGTTCAAGGTAAACAGTACTAAAGACTGAACTATTTTGTTTGATATTAGATAAAGTTTTGGTTGGGTTGGGTTTTTTGGGTTTTCCTTTTTTAATAGTGTTTTTTACTATTAAGTGTTGCTGAATTTTTATTTATTTTTTTTTTTTTTTTTTTGCAGCAGATTTGTGTATACCTTAAATTTTAAGTCCGTTTGTTCTAACAGGCAAGCTTCTACGAAGGTGACCCCAAAATCACTGGCTGGGCTGATTTAATAAGTTTGACAGAACACCAGATTAAGGTTAGGTCTTCCGGCCACATGCCAACTAGTACATGGGACAGAGGGAATGCCAGCACAATCAGTCTTTGCCTTCTAGGTGGCACCAAGATAGGCATTTCAAATATCACATCAGCACGCTGGTTTCATCTTAGAGGTTTTGCCCACACCCTGCATTCCTATGAAAACAGGTTTCTTGAGCCACAATAGCACAAATTTCAATGAGTCACGAAGGACACTTGTTACAGATGGGATTGTAGGCTTAGGGTCTTCATTGTTTTGTGCTTTTATTCTGTGTCTTTTGCTGTGTATCTTGCTACTTCAGTTGGATATTGTCAGTGTTAGCATGGGCTTAGGACTGGCATGAGTCCTGGTGCAAGAAAAAAAATAAATAGGACAGAGTGCCTCTAAGCCAGGCAGCTGGCAACATTTCCCCAAACTTTTCCTCTTCTCCCTGGCTTACTGCTTGGGCTTGCCCAGCTTGAGGGATTAAGGCCAGTTGCATTTTCTACGCTCTTCCATAGCTATGGCCCTGGGAGCTGCTCTTTGCCCACTGTGTGGAAGTACTACCTTGTACAGTTTAATGTATGTATATTGAAAAACAAGTTAAAAGATTCTTATGTGTATAAAGCATATGTAACCTAGTATCCCTTTGGCTACACTGCAGTAAAAAGACCATAGGTTTTTTTCTGCATGCTTCTTGGACATGGGATTCCACATCTGTGCCTTCAGGACTACTCTAGGAGCAATGAGCGGAGTCCACCATATATACAACTGGAAATCCATACATGGCGTTATTACAGGATCTGCTAGGATTAACATATGAGAGTTTTAATGTGAATTCATTCTATCTACTGGCTGAAATGTAAGTTTTTTCAGTTTTATCAATAACACAGTAGAAACAAAGTACAAATCTGCTCCTCTGTTGCCAGTATGACTTCAGTAAGAGCAGACAGAACTGGGTCCCTCATTTACATTATGCCATTTGAAAATATGTACCTATTTATCTTACTAACCTGTAAAGCAAAAAAGAAGCTGTATGTCTTTATAAATATACATTGACATGAACTAGATTTTTAGTAACTGAGCACAAGGTGCATTGTTTGTTTTCTAATACTCAGCCAATTGGCGTTCCCTTATTATGGAAACAGGCAGGAACCAAAGTTTCCCTTACAGCTGGCAAATAGTCCTTATAGATGTTGTAGACTGTGCTGCTAGATAGGTTGGATTTTGCTTTCCAATACTGCTTTTCTAGATAAATAGAAGTTATGGAAAATACTAGGAAAGGAGGGGAGCAAGTGTAACCACTATGATATCTATATATGTTTTCTAACACATAATAATGTCTTTTATAACATGAGCCATACAACTTGTGTATTTATGTTCAAAGTATAAACTGAGAGAAATGTTTAATAAAAAATGTGATAAAAATTAACTTCAGAAGTACATTTCTTGGGTCACCATTTTAACTAGGAGACTAGAATTTGTAGCATGCATTAATGAATAACATACATATTAATGGACTCATGAAAGGGAAAATAGGGTATGTGATTAGGACAACAAGGATGTATCTTTTTAGGTTTTTTGTTTCTACAATTTAAACACCAGCAAATGGAATTTCTCAAAATGATTCAGTCTCTTAGAATAAGTTTGGTGTATCAGTGGACCCAAATACTGTTTAAGCAGTAGAATTTCTGCTGTGGAGAAATGGAGTTTGGGCAGCATGTGTGATACATAAAAATGAGAGGAATTAATATTCCAAATGAGTGTAATACAGCAAAGTGTTAACAGAGGAAATTAATTTTCAGTTGCTAACTGGCAATTTTCTCTAATTAATCTGCCCTAAAGAGTATACACAGAGCCCCATGATTGTGTTTAAATATGGAGACTTGTATTCATCAGAGTCAGCAATAGCCTTTTTGAGTGTACCCGCACTATTATAAGCAAACAAGAAGAATTACTGATTGCTGCATGGCTGCTAGTGAGGCCTGCCTTTTTGTTCCTGTTCTTACACATCTCTTCAATATATGGTTCTGAAAAATGTCAGATCACAAGAGTGCAGGATACTCTGTGTTCATGCATCTGAAGGCAGATTCTGTCCCACAGGGATTTTACTGGTCATTATTTATGGGTTTTAGGCTGAGAGCTAAACATTGCCCATTGGAGAGAAGACTGAGTATTGAGAAGTATTTCCTGAATTATGCTTCTGTGCTTAATGTCAATGTTTGTCCTCCTTCTATTTAATTTTCTGAGCACATGAAGACAATTTTTTTTTTTGTAAAACGCATTTGGGGAGAAAAATCTGTGGTTTGGAAGGTGCAGCTATAACGGAGGGCTCTGTAAGAGTTCATCTGTAGTGCAATGAGTGATACCATGGAGCTGATACGGTATTTTTAGATTGCTTTACATATATTCATAGTAATAATACTTCACATAATAGTCCTGTTAGGCAGATTAATATCATCTGTAGCTAGGAAGAAGCTGAGTTGAAGAATGTTTGCCTGACTTGAAGCTGCATGATGACTCTGTGAAAGCACACAGATTAAAGCCACTACTTCTCTTTAAGGCCATGATTAGCCCTTTAAACTGCCTCCTTCTTGCAGGCATCCTGTATGCGTGGTTGTTGAAACTGTGCTAGTGAACTGGCCAGGAGTAGGGCAGCAACAGGGGAACTGATCTATTATCATAGTTGTTGGCTCTCTGGAACTGAGCCTGACCTGGGCTGCTCCCACCAGACAGCACTGACAAGGCCGCTTATCTGGGATATTTTGGGTGCTGATCAACAACATGGATGTAAAATGTGTGGACCCACTTGCATAATAGGCTCTTTGCCTCTGGCGTCTTGATGCTAATGTGGCCTGACATATATCTATACAACCTACGTCATATGGGAATGTTGCCAGCAGCCTAGAACTTGAGACCAGTCTCTTACGGTCAGGAGACAGAAATACATACTAGCATAGACTTGATACCCATACGTATGTGTGTCAGTGGTTGGGATAAGGAGTCTTCTTGTTACTCTGTGATAGTTCAGCTGCATGTACCATACCACAGCTCAAAATTCTGGTTTATTTATAGTTGTATGTAGAATCTACATCCCACTTCCTCACAAATGCGGCATGCACACTGCAAGATCTATCTGCTATGATTTAAGAAGTCTAGCTCAATTATCTTTTCCCAATTGGTTGATATGCTGCTGCCTTCTACTTGTGCTTACTTGATCCTAGCATTTTTCCTAAAAGGCATGCCTGGCTACCAAACTGCCAGAAACACTCTTTGTCTCCTAAAAGAAAGAATCAAAATAGCAACACTGAAGCAGCTTCAGATGAAAGGTTCTGAAAATTTCCTAGGCAAATGAGGATTTACTGTGTGCCTCCATTTGAAATGCAACAATGTCATGTATGACCCAAAACACCTCAAGTGTTGGCCAAGCTCCATAAACCACATTGTAAAGGCAGTTAGTCTTTCACAGCATGACCTTCAAAGGCGTTCAAAGAGATTTTTTTTTACCTCCAGCAAAACAGGCCTTGACAGCAGAACTGCAAGTTCTCGTGTTGTATATATTATACTCCAGGGATAATCATAGTTATTATTAATGTGTGTCCCAACCTGGAAGATGAGTGAGAACACCTAGGATTAAAATGGCACACCTTGGGGGAGCTCAAATCATTGTAAGAATTCACTGGAAATACCATTTAAGGAGTATTTTGACATCAAAAGATGCAGGTGAGCCTCCAGCAGTTTTATCAAGCACCAAAGTACCTAAATTCCACTGAAATCTGTACCTTTACATGCCCAAATGAAGATAAAAAGAAAGGTTTTAAGGTTTTGAATTCAAGAAACTATCTAAAGCTTAGCTATGGTTACAGAATTTTAATTTTGCTTTCTATTATTCCACATTGGAGAGAAATTCTAGGGGTTTCACCTTAAGCATCAGGGTTGCCTTGAATGTTGGCACAAAAAAATGCATTGACCCATGACTTTCAAAGCAAAAGGTAGAAGTTGTTTCCTGTGGTCTTTTCTGGTTTGTTCTTTCTGTGTGCATTTCAGGTAGCAGAATGTGCCTCTCAGACTCCACTAAATGCTTTTTTAATGTTCCCTTACTGAAGAGGTTTGTTTTGTTGTTTTTTTTTCTTTTTCTGGAGAGTTGGGTAGCACAGACCACATTCATTAATGAGGATTACCCCTAGTTCAGACAAGATTTGTAAACACAACTTCTCTGCAATGTTGCTCAGAGCAGTCTGTGATGACCTTAATCCTGATCACAAGCAACTGACACCATCAGTTAACTTAAGCTGCATCTACACTGCTGAACTCAAGAGCACTTGGAATGTTCCTGTCACACATCCAGAGGCTCTGTCAGGTAAGATCCATCTGCCAGCCTGTGCCCTGCACAAACCCTGCTGTCTGGGCACACAAAGGTGGCTATAGCCTACACCTGTACATAACGAGGTCTCATTGTCACACCAGTATTCCAGGAGAAATGTACTGATGTTGAGGTGTTTTACTCACAATTCATAGTCATGGATGCATGTTGATGAGACAGGTGGTGGGACAACCCATGGCTGGTTATGGTTGGATAATCTCAGAGCACTGTACAGAGCGTGGGTTTGTTTTTATTCTCTTCTTCAAATTTTGGGGGGTTTTTTTACTTGTTTTGGGAATTATCTGCTGCAAGCTGATAATGCCCCTGATGCAACCAGCTCTTTTCATTCAATTCTACTATTTGGGTATTTTACAGGGATGTGTGAAAACTAACGCACAGACACATCAGCCGGGGTCAGCATTGAGTGTATACAACATAGCCTACGTAACACACCTACAGCATATATGGTTTTTGTATTGCAAATACACAACAAGCAGTTTAGGCATTTTTGGCTGCTCAGCAGAAATACAATAACCATTTTGTCTGTGCAGCAATAGTATCAAAACAATTCTTGAGGCTGTTGTGTTATAATACCAAAAAGCTTTTCATATAGGAGTGTTCAGCTGTCAAACACAGGGTGAGCAAAACGAGTTAGGTTTTCTGTTTGGGTTTTTTGTTGCCTTTGTTTTGTTTTGTTTTGGGCTTTTGATTTTGGTGGGGTTTTTTGTTTGGTTTGGGTTTTTTTTTTTTGTTGTTGTTTGTTTGCTTTTTTTTAATTTATTTATATTTTGGTGTTTGGACATGGACCTGAGCTCCAGCTACTGCCACTATGTGTCTGATACTCTGGTATGCACAGGTGGAATGCTACTGAGTTTCACTCATGCCAGTTTCAGAATTTTGATGCTGCAATGTTTATTTTTCCAAGACAGCCTTGTGCCAATCTAAACCACAGAAGAATAGCTTACCAACAGCTATGCATCTGCATAGACACTGGCAGCAAGTCTAGATTGTGTGGGCACGCCAGTGCTACCTCGTGTACTAGACATGTTCCCACAATGTAATGGACTCAGTGAGTGAAGGCTGCAAAATCCATCTAATTACCTGGGTAAATAACTGAGCATGGCACCATCCTCAGCTCCATGCTGCCATGGGTACACTACCTGCACGGTTCTACCTTGCTTGCTTGTAAAAGCTACCCTGCATATGCCTGTGTGAGCTACATTCTGAGCCCATTATCTAGGAAGGTTTCAAGCCTCTTGGTCCACAGGGTATAGGTTGAGTGTTTCATTTGGGTGAAATAATTTTGTTAAATGATTCCTAACCTTCTTAAACAAGAAATTCTGCAGCTTCACTTGACAAGAATCAACCCCCTGAGCCTGGGCTAATTAATTTTTAATGTGATCTGCTGGCAAATTTTACTGAGGAGCAGAGCATTTGCTCCAGCTAACAGGCAGGCCAGACCTACAGAATAGCCTCAGAGTTGGGAATCGCAGCAATGCAGCTGCTACTGCAACCAATGGGAGGAAGAAAAGAAATGCAGTACCTCTCCCAAGAAGAGCAGCACTATGCTAAGCACTGAGCAGATGTACATCTCTCTGGCTCAGGATGCCATTTGGTGTCCCTATCATGAGAATGGCAGTCTGCTTTACTGTCCATTTCAACATTAGAGTCATCACAGCCTGGTGTCTTCTAGGAAGCAGAAATCCCAAATCTTTTGTTTTGCCTGATTTAGATTGAACAGACAGAAAGGTGCATAAGATGAAAAAAAATTGCTATTCATATTTCTTCATCTGGATTTTATTATTTTTCTTTTACCAGAGAAGCATCTGATAGAATTCTTTTGTTCCAAACTGTAATCCCTTTTTAATATTGAGCATTTCTCCTGGTATGTGAGAGACAGGATGGGCTGTATGTGACTAGGCAGGAACTAAGGTTTCTGGGACAAAAAAAACATTCCCCTTCCTGCCTTTATTCTCCTCACTGTGCTCACCACTCTGCTGTTGTTGCTTCTGGCTAGTTGCCCCTTGCAGAACACAGGTATCTTAGCAAGTTTTGATGGCCAGTAGCAGCAGTTGTAAGCAATCAGTCCCTCTGAATATTCTTAATGTTGGCTGGGCTACAGAAACAAAAGACAGACACCAAATTGTGTATGAAATATGCTGCGTGATACCCGATTTCTTTTTTTTTAGGACAGGCCCTCTTCTATGCTGGGACAATTGTTCTACAGGTGTTTGTAGCTATACCAGTCTGACTTTACAGCTAATGGACAGAAACAAGGAATATCAAAGGATGATTTACCTCATCCTAAGATAAGGTGTCTAAGATCGGGGAGAAAAACTGCCCTCCAGACAGGGTTATTCATTTACATTAATTATAAATGGAGCTTCAGGGAACTCAAGTTGAGTAGGAAAGCCGAACTAGAACTGAGATGATTTCTACAACAGGTATCCCAGTTTTCAGCAGCATCTCCAGTTTCTACTGAAAACTGAAAGGCTAGTTGATGAGCAGCCTTATCCTTCACAGGAAGTTTCCCAGCCTATGATCCACGGAGGAGCAGTACCTCAGAGAAACAGTGCTAATAGGTCAGCAACTTGTGTTTTTACTGAATGTGTTTTTACTGAAAGGTTTGATGACAAAGGGTTATGGGGTACCAGAAAGAAACTTAAGAGGGTTACAGCACAAGATGGGGTACAGCACACTGAGGCTCACAAAGGTAGGGAATCACTGCCCAAAGTCAAACTTTAAGAAAGCAGAACTGAGGTCATTTTGCCCACTCTGCTTCTGGCTGTGTCCAGTGAGGGCACAGGATAAAGTCTGCAACAGCTGAATGCTAAATGACTTTTCAGGCTAGGACATCCATGGAGCCTGGATTCTGTGTAGGACTTTTACTGACTCCAGCCACAGGGGCAAATATGGCCTCTAAACACACAGTATGCTGCTTCTTATCTATCATTGACGTCCAATCCTTTCCAGAAACTGTAGCTCAGACACCTCCGTGTACACATGAACTGAAATGTGATGTGCCAGTTAAACCTGAAGACGAGCTAAGCAAATCTGTCTGTGCAGAAAATCATCATATATTCAGAAAGCATGAGTCAGAACAATCTCAAATGGTCTCAGATATGATACTGCTGCCACAGTCACATAACTCTTGGCAGTCAGGGTTCTGAACAGAAGTCAGGCACCTCAAGAGGACATGATCCTCCACAGAGGAATAGAACAACAGGGATTTTTAAAGTGAAAATAATTTCCCAGACCTGTATCAGTTGCCTAATTTCAGTGTCATCTTGAAATATATGGTATTTAAAGTAACATGGAACAGCAGGAAGATTAGTTCCTGATGTCAGGAGAGAATAATTATTTCTGGCAGGCTTTAATGGATCTGTGAAATCATCACACGGAAACTTCTTCCAGCCAGCTAAGACTAAAAGCACATACAGGAACTAACAGTCCAATCACAATGGGCCCTAATTAGGGGACAGCAGGAAATTCACAATTATGCCCAAGCCACATGTTGTGGTCACCAGTTATTCTAGGACCCCTGCAATACTGTATGATTCTTAATTATCTTACAGCACCAAAAAGCATGCTGGCTTCTCTCAGTACAGATGAGACATGACCTCAGCTTGAAAATCAGCGTTCTGGTTAAGCACAGCACTGAAGTGCACAACATGAACAGAGCCAAGGGTTTCAAGTGGCTACAGTTACCCAGTATCTCATCTGCTGAGTATGTACACTGAGTGTACAAAGTTCTGTGTATATATGAATTATCTGACTCCTGGAAGGCTGTCTGGAGACAGGCAAGATGGCCTAGTCTTATAAAGACCATTTTGACTCGACAGATGAAGATGTAGCTGCAGTCAAATCATAGAAATGTTTACATATTTTATTTAGAAAGAAGTCCCAAAACTTAGGTGTATGAAGTCCTGATGTTTTGAGGTTTCTTGAATTCTCATTTTCAGGTTTTTTTCCCCCTCAGTTTATCTGTTTTTCTCTTTTAAATGGGCTGCATTATTATTCATGTTCTCTCTTTAGTTACCTGCTGTATTTAACACTCGCCCATTTATGTTAGTCATTCTGTACTTGTGTGTTTGTTCTTGCTTGTTGTCCTTACTACAATCAGACCTAGACAGTAATTCAATAATACCTAGATATCAAGCACTTGAGTGTATTAAGGGCTAACTCAACACATATGAGTTTTAGCACAACTAAAGTAAAAAAGTAGGATTAATGGGACAAAATGAATGGGAAGACACCCAGCCATGCTTAACCATCACCACTATGATGCTGGAAGAACATACAGCCCCAGTGGTTACACTGCCAGCACACTGGAAATGAATGGTCAGGTTAATTTGAGAGAGGAGACTAGTAGCTTTGCAAGTCTGCTCAGGAGTGTCTCCACTTACTGGGTGGCTGCAGGAGAACCAGTCTGACGGGACCCTGGAGTCAGTGGAAAGAGGGGAAAAAGAGAAAAGCTGCGGATGAACAGTGGAGACATCAGTATCATAGGAAATCTATACATTGCAATGGCTACATGATACATCCAGGCACCAGCAATGGTTCAGAAAGGCTTAGATAGCACAGTGTCAGTGCCTACTACGCTGGTAGAAGTCACATTGTGGCCTGCAGCGGGACTTGAGCTAAGTATCAGCGACTGCACTGGGTGCAGATCCAGGGTACAACTAATATAACACCAGGGCTTTTTTCAAGAAACTGGGAAATGGGTGTAATTCTAGGAACCCCTTTACCAGCCTCAGCGTTGAAGAGCAGGACAAGATAGGAACCTGACCCAAACTGTAGTCAAAGGGAAACCACCTGGCTTCCACCTCACTGTGTCTCCGCGGGCAGAAACCCGAACAACCCAGAAGCTGCGGTTGGAAACCCCCCCGCAGCGAGAGACGGGGAGCCCCCAGCCGAGGTGGGAGGCCGGGTTGTCCGGAGGGGCCGTGTCCATCGGGCCGCCGTGTCCATGGGGCCGCCGTGTCCATCGGGCCGCCGCTGCAGCAAACCACACGGGCCCTCCCTTGGGCAGTGGAGCGGCAGCTACCTCAAAAACTGCTTCCCCCACCCCGCCGTGAGGTGAGGACCGCCGTTTCCCCGCCCGGCGGCGCCAGGAGGGAGTTTCTCCCCAGTGCGGGCAGGTGGGGCCGTTCTGCCGCCTGCCCCGCCTCACCGCAGCGGGGGAGCGCGAACACCCGGCCCGGAGCTGCGTAGCTTCCCGCCGCAGGGGCTGCCCCTTGCCGGGCGCCGCTGCGTGCAACAGGTCCGTGCTCCTTCCTCCCTCCGCCTGTGCGGGAGTGTGTCAGGCGAACAAAGGGGCTGAGCGCGGCCCCGCGCCCCCTCCACGCAGCGGCCGCCCGGCCCCTGTGCTTCAGCCATTTGCGTCGCCTGGCATCGCACCGCCGCTTCCCCCGCACCGCTTCTCCTTCCCGGCTTCCCCCGCCAGCTCCCGCTGCAAGAGCCGCTGCGCTGCAAGCTGCGAGGCGGAGGGGAGGGAGGGAGCTTCCCCAGAGCGACGTGGGGCTCGCCGGCCGTCACCCAGAGGTAAGCCCCTGCCTGCCGGGAGAAGAAGAAGAGGCAGCGCGGCGGCGGGCCGGGAAGAGGGTCGGGCACGTCCAGGAGGCGGGGGGCCGCGGCTCCGGACTCGGGACGTGCCCGACCCCCTCCGGGCCCCCCGCCGCGGAGCCTCCGGGGAGAATTAATTCCGGTATCTGCTTATAGCTGAGGTAAAATACACGCCGCGGAGACACGGTGTGGGGAGGTTTGGAGCACCCTCAGGTTTAATCGTGGTTTTCCTTCAGTACCCCTTAATCCATCTCCCCGGGGAACTAGAGAGTCAAAGCATATACCCGTATCCCTTCTCTGTATGTCGCAGAGGAGCCAAACGTGATGCCTGCGTATTTTGTTATCCTGCTGACCTACTAAAAATCTGAATGACTCTTTACAATAGCGTATAGAGATGTGTAACAGCAGCAGATTGCTTCCCGCTATAAATTCTTAATGGCGTGCTTCCCCATTCTGTTAAAAACACGTGAGAGGTGCGAGCCCTGGGTTTACACACGAGTGCATGGCTTTGCAGGGTGGAAGATGCTTGAATAAAACTACTGAATTTCGTTTGTCCAAAGCTCATAGGTTTCTTTTATGTGTGGTCCTTTAAAGCAAAAAAAAAAAAAAAAAGGCGGCTCCCAAACCCAAACTTACATGGCACAGAAATTGATAGTATTAGATCATATAGCCAACTTTTTTCACTTATCTAAGAGAAATAAAACCTTCTAGAAATAATATTATGTAAAGCTTTCCCATATCAATAGAAAATTAGAACAGAAAGCTAGAAAAAAAGTAGGGCAATAAAAAAATAGAATAGCAGTAACACAGAACAAATTTTTTTATATGATCTGAGAAGCTAAAGAGCTTCGTTTTTCATACTTAACCATCTGTCTCCCAGAAATTAAATGGAATGTTTATGGAAAATAGTAATTAAATTGCCAGTAGTATTGACAAAGCAATATGTGCTCCCCTGGTTTAACTCTGGCTCATTCTGCCTGTTCTGCATTCTTCTTTTCCCAGCACCCATCACACAGCATTTATTCACTCTTTAATTAGGACATCCAGTGCATGTCAGTGGGATCCTCCGGTCATCCACTGCTAATGGCAGTTTCTGATGAGAACCTGCCAAGAGCCCAGGACTGGTCCCTTGCCTGCCCCAGTTCCGCCCAGTCTGCATGGTCTTGCTCCTGGCAGTAGTGACACTGAAGTCAATGGTGACTCTTTTAGGAGATGGAGCTCACAGGACTGTGCCTTGTTAATACCAAAAGATTGAAATCCTTAATAGCTTCCTTTCTTCTATGAATGCTTTGCTGCATCGCTTTTCAGTGTAACAAATCGTCCAAATAGATGGACAGATCTGAAATGTCAATAAATATTAGAGCACCATTACTTGGCAGGAACATTCAATGAAAGCCATTAACTGGCTTTACTATAATAAAGCAGGATTATAGTATTTAGGGCTGGCCTGGGTTACTGTAAAGACAGTGATGTGGTTAGATGACTGGATCCAGATCCTACTTAGCAGGGGTTTCAGCATCCTATAGTATCCTGTTGCAAGAGGATATTAGGGGCAGCTGGCTGCTAAAGAAGGGTGTAATAAAACATGAAAGGAAATCCTGCAATTTCTTCTAACGTAGAATTAAACTTTTTTTTTCTTTTTTTTCTGGTGAGACCCTGTATGGATTTTGCAGGGATTTTGCTATATATCCCTTCTGAGAGAGATTCTGCAGCATTGCAGTTAGGCTATCTCTTTCCTGTGAACAGAAGTTGAGAAGTTATATACCACTTCACATCCTTGGAAATACCCATGTAAAAAATGAGCTCATTTTCATTGTGTTTTGATCTCATTAGGCTTCTCAGGACATGACACTTTTATATCTGCTGAGTTACTTTTCAATGGAATTGTCATCATCTGTTCTTCCCTGCTTCGGTTTTGGTCTCAGTGTTGTTTTGTCAGAGAACAGGCATGATTAGTTCCTTTCATTGGCAAAGAATTACTTTATGGTAGCTCAGGATTTGACAATCAGATGAACCTGATGCATGACTGAGCTGTCACTGGGTGGGAAGGGATCCTGCTCTTTCCCTAGCCTAGGACATACATTCCTGCCAGGTTCCTTGTGCTAGCACTAGTAACCATGTGATGGTACAGTGAATGGATAGAGATTTTGCCTTCCTCCTGCAGTTAATGAAGCAAACACTCAAGTTGACATGTGTCGGTGTTGGTATTATGAGTGGTCCTAGTCCTGTGACCAGAGCATTTAAATCTGCATGTAACTCTCTGCAGGATCAGTACCGTACATTGCTGTGTATTTTTCTTAGATAGCGTTAGCAATTAAGTGGCCTTTTTTCTGTCATTATCCTAAAATGCTACTTGTATGCTAACCATCAGTTCTGGCTTTGAAAGAATTACAGGACTGGGTCAGTATTGTATATGGGTGATTGAGTGTTAATGTAAACAGTTGGCTGGGTCCTTCGTTCTGCACTGCATGTTTGGTACTTTCTAGTGTCTTATTCCTCATCACTGAGGGTAGTAGGAATTCGTGATCGGTTAGATCAGTTTATTTAATGTAAGGCAAGATAAAATAAAATAAAACATCCAGTAGTTCCACAGATTTTGCACTCTGGTAGGGAGAAGATGTGTCACATAAATGCTTTTCACGTGCAGGGTTTCATGAACTGCCATTGCTATGCCTCTGGCTAAACCAGACAGGTGGACAACCATTTTTAATTTACTCAGAAACACATCAGAAACCACAACCTTTCCATACAAATCCACATAAATTGGACAAGCAGTTTCCATGCTGTTGTGTTGTCTGTCACAACATGATTTGCATTAATTAATAGTATTGAAGTTACCTTACACATGTACAGATTAGCACAAGCTGTTTGTTGTTTTTCTGGACACTGATTCCTCCAGAAGTGTTTTGAGAAGTAGAGTAAGGTTTGCATATAGATCTCAAAGTGCTGGAAGGCTGCTGGATTCCTGAATCATTTCAGGTCATCAACCTGTCAGAGATCTGCAGTATTTTTTTACTTTTTCTTTTCTTTTTTTCCTTGGAAGCAGCTCTGCTTTCCTCTCCCTCTCTTGTAAGTAGATTGGAAGAACAGACCCTAAGCTCTGGAGATAAACTATTATTTCTGTGACCCGTATTTTGAGTGTTAGGAAGAACCAAAAGCCAACCCTTTGCTACAGGAACAGCATGCGAACGACAGATGTTCTGATTCTGTCAGTCAGAGACAAATCTTTTTATGGTAGAGCTCTTCTCTTATCCTGTAGCTTTCTTTCAGCTCTTCTTTACTGCAGCTTCCCGCATTGCCTCAGTTAAAAAAAAAAAAAAAGCTGCACGTACATACACATTTGATTGTACAGTTGTGGTGGGTTGACCCTGGGAACATGCCACGTGCCCACCAAAGCTGCTCTATCACTCTCACAGGGGAAAGAAAAAGGCTTATGGGTTGAGATAAGGACAGGGACAGATCACTCGCCAATTACCATCACCAGCAAAACACACTTGGGAAATTAATGTAATTTATTACTAGGGAAATCAGAGTAGGATAATGAGAAATCTAAAAACACCTTCCCCTGACCCTCTCTTCTTCCTATGTGCAACTTCACTCTCAGTTTTCTCTACCTCTCCCAGAGTGGTGCAGGGGGTTGGGGTCAGTTTATCACAGATTGTTTCTGCTGTTCCTTTCCTCCTCAAAGGAAGGACTCTTCACAGTCTTTCCTTGCTCCAGCCTGTGGTCCCTCCCACAGGAGACAGTCCTCCAGAATTCCTCCAGCAGACTACAGTTCTTCACGGTGTGGGTCCCTTCTACAGGGTGCAGTCCTGCAGGAGCAGACTTCTCCAGCATGGGTTCCTCTTTCCACTGGGACACAGGTCCTGCCAGGAAGCCTGCTCCAGTGGGGACTTCACGAGGGGTCACAGCCCCTGCTCTGGCATGGGGTCCTCCTACACAGGTGTTAATCACTGTTGCTGATGGGCTTGGGCTTGGTCAGTGGTGGATCCATCTTGCAGCCAGCTGGCATTTGCTCTGTCGAACACAGAAGCTTATAGCAGCTTCTTACAAAAGCCACCCCTGTAGCCCCTTGCTGCCAATACCTTGCCATGCAAACCTAGTACAACACAGTAAGAAATCCAGATGCTCATAAAGTTAATGGGAATTTTCCCTTGACTGCAACAGGGCTGGGATTTAAAGTGATGTCATACTCTGGCTTTATCAAAAAGCTCTGTGAAACGTAGGTGGAAATTTCTAGCTGCAAGCTACTAGCACAAGCCTCATCCTCTCCAAAGCCATGGAAGTGGGCAGTATATAGATACCTTCTTGATTAGTAACAACTGATAAGAGTTCTGAAGGAGTTTGGTTTTCACAGCAGATACAGAAACAGTAAAGTAAATGTCACTTGAGTGTATTGCTTTTGTGAAGTTTACAGTCAGTTAGTGTCATGTGTCCCAAGAAGTTTTACAGTGTGATATGGGAAACAGAGGGCGAAGACTGTTTGTGTGTATTCATATGATAAAATCCACTGGTGCTGCTTGTCATTGATTAGGGTGAGGTCTATACCACTCATTCTTTGTGACGGAATACTAGAAGTCCTTCATGATAGGCAACAGAGTTGTCTGTGAAA